TTGTTTTTCCCAAACCTTTCAGGGTCTCGTTTGGGGGAATAGCTACCCAACGGAAATTGACCGCGCACATGGGCACCAAAGATAAGAACCACCGTCCCAGTGCCATTGCCCATCCCTCCATGACAGGCCAATCTCGTCTAAAGTGCACTCTACTGGCAAGGCCGCTAGGTGCACTGCAGGCTACGAGTCTAAGTCTTGACACTCCTCTCATGAAGTGAGTCTCTACGGAGGAAATAAGTTGGATTAGGGAGCCTGACCTACACAACATGTGGCGTTCCTCAACAATCAGGCGACATGAGCGAAGCCAGTCCAGTCCTGGAGAGATAGCCTCCAACTACCCTGACTCCTGAGACATGATGCTGAGGAATGCGAGCTGCATGCTCGCTTGTGCTGCGTAGCGCGGTTTTCTATGTACCTGCAGTCGGAGAAGGGACCAAATTGTGCAATCAGCCGAAGAGAGCGATTTAGTCCGGGATGATGCGGTCATCATTGGTTCTTTGGACAGGGAAGGATCATTGCGTAGAGTCAAGATGGTGTGGCATTAGCTTCTGTTGGAATGTGTCCACAGTTCACACTCTACTCCGCACACACAAGCAAGTGAACCAAATTGATACAGGTTATGGAGGCTGTTACTTGAATTAGAGAGAAAGCGTGTCCAATTCTAGGGAATGGACAGTGACTGGAGCACCGACCAGGCGTGTGTTCATCGCAATTTCTGAGACGATCTCGCTTACGTATATCAATCTCCGATCCCACTAGTTAACTAGCACCAGTGACGAAAAGAGCAACATCCACGCGACCCTCTTTTGTCATCAAACTGTACTGTCTATATTCTGCAGACGAGATAGTCTAGAACTGAATTCACTCATCTCTATGAAATTCAAAATGGATAACCAGACACCTGCTGATGTAATCCGGAATTCGCCTGCGCATGCCTGCAATCGTTGCAAAGACACTGTTTCAGATATGTGCAGGCACTAACCCACTTAAGTCGGGAATCGAGTTTAAACTACACATGTATGCGGCCAAGGTGGTACGAAACAGGACCCTGAGTCTGGCAGAGAAGAGCCAAGCAATATGGTTGCGCGTATTGTGGGTACGTATTTGGGTCCTGGACTTTGGACTGGGATTTGGTAATGTGCTCATTGGTTCTGTGGGTACGATATTTATAGTAAAGGTTGCGATCTTGAACATAATGTGTTATGATTTATGAACTGCTTAGACTGCTTTTCTATGGAGTATCTCATGAGGGTTACATCGGCAGCTGGTCATAGTGTCCAGTTTCAATGCCACAATAACACTATGTCTTATTTCTTTGTTTTATCTTTTCTCTTCTGTAAACGAGGTCTTCGAGAGTCAGATTGCGCCTTCCCATACTCAATAATGTTGGTATACCTCTATACTATGTGGATAAATGTGGGTCGAGAACTCAGACCATTCCCCTGGGATATGACATCAAGTAGAACAATGCTGTCTTCAACAAAATTGCGTCTACAGTTCCTGGATGGTTTGAAGTTTTGCGCTGTGCGCACTGTGGCCTGAGTGACAAGGCAACATTTCGTTATGTCTTAGTCATTACCCTTACAGATTCATACAGTTGAGACTTGCTGGCCAAGAACCCACCGGAGACGCTAGGATGCAGGTTTGACCCTTAATCAAACAACGACTTGGGGCCCGCCCCTTTCTGACAGATCGGTACTCTGTTTCATCTTTCATCCCTATTATTTCATATCTTAGGAATAATCACTACTACATACCTTCATCCCATCTAGCGCAATGGTAGCTATCTTAGTGATAGTATGCTCGATTCCAAAATCCGAGAGATGCACTTCTACTATAATATGAAATGACGAGTACCTAACTTTGACCAGATCCAGGAACAGGTGACCAGATAATGCCTGAGACACCTGACAATGCGCGTAGGTAGAAAGCCTCATTACCCATGGCCCATACCTTGCTCTGGATCACCAATCATGAACCATTTCCAGATTCCCCAGCCCAAAGGATGACGACGAAGGGGCTTCTCGAAGCTCGAGAGTGTTCGAGGATCCATGTTACTCTCTTGTGTCACTAGTCTTCTTCTGGAAATTTCTCAGACTCATCAAATGATCCAACCCAATGAACGATCAGTTCACCTTGTGGGCAGCATCGCTCACCATGCGCCTTAATCCTGATTCGCTAAAACTCCCGAGTCCCCCGACGTTGGCCGTGCACTTGGCCAATGACCTCGCAGCAAACATACTCATGGACTTGGGGGGTGAAATTCCTCCCTCAAGCATGATTTCAACCCTCCTCAGATACCTAGGTAAAATCTTCAGGATGCTAGACAGATGCTGTGTAGGGATCTAGGCTACTAAGGTTCCAGAATTGGAGCCAACTTTCCGACCTCAAGATGATTGACAGCATTCAGCCTTTTAGCATAACTATTGTAATAGCGTTCGTAGACCATTGCCTTCGAGAAAGCATGGTTTTGCTGCTGCCCCCACTTGAGGTAGTTTAAGAGCTGTCACCCATTTGGGGGACCATGGTTTGTGCCCTCAGACTCAACCAGTCCTGAGTGTGCGATGGTCCTGATGGGATCAGGGGCTTCTTCCTTGACATGTATTCGGTATAGTGCGATGCCGAAAGAGAAAAAAACGAATTGAAGCTTGTCACCGAGGCTCAACCATTGTAGTTTCTCTCTCTAACAACAGAAACCGCAGTAGATAAGCCATCAATCAAGCATTTCGTTGCATTGATTGACTTCGTACGGCTCCATAGACGTCACTCAGTCATACATCTTCAGTGTATAATCCCATTGCCCCATTCTGAAGCGAGATTCCTGTGAAGAAGATGATTGCAGTGGACCACTGGACACTGACAGCAAAGTATGGTACTGGAATAAAAATAATATTAGGCACCTTTACTGTTTAGACTCGGCGTTTCATGTTGTGATTAGTCTTATCGACATCGCCTTAGCTACAGGGACTTTATTCAGCATCTCTTCTAATTGCCCTATGAATCCATTCAGTACTGTAAAAGGAGACTGCCAAATGCTGGTTTCATCATCGTCATCGCCTCTCTGTCATCTTATTGCTTGTTCTTCCTCTTCGATTATTATATTATTATTTATTCTTGCTTTGCTCTTTTTTAGCCAACATACTTTCAGACTTCATCCTTTTTTTCTAATTTTCTTAGAAAAAGGAAAAGTAAAAAAAAAGGTTTTAATTTCTCCCCCTTCCTTAGGTACCTATTATTCTTCTCAACTGGAAACATACCCAACACTCTAATCCTCATAGAGTTGCGCGAATCATAACCTTTCGAAGCTATCTGGGTTTTCTAGAAAAAGAGACCTCATAATAATAATTATAATTATTCTCTCCATCATCAATTGAAGTGGAAAAATTTAAAAGAAAAAGGAAAATTACTGTCGGGGACCTTTAGACCACGAAACCTCACTCTTTTCCCCTACTAGATACATCCTGTTTCTCCTACTCTTTCTGCTACTCTGGACGGACTATCTTGCCTTTTTTATTATTATCCTTTCTTTTTCTCTTCTATCCCTTTTCTCTTCAACATTCTACCTTTCTATTATTTGAATACTGTTGTTTTTCATTTTCGTTCATCTACTTTCTCTCCTTATTCTCCCTTCATCCGCCCCGTGGACGTACCCTTTTCGATAGGCCGAGGAACCTCAGACGCTTCTCTTCGCTCTATGCTCGTGCATACCATCGACTGCGACATCCTACTACCGTACGACTTCTTCTGTCTCGTTCTGTAAACTGGACGAGGACAAGCGAACTCAACGACGTCGACAACTACTCCTGCAGAAGAGCGATCTTTAGTGTCAAATCTCGATCAGCCTAATCATCTCTGAAACACGTCCTTTATTACGATTTAATATCTATTAATATCCGTGGATTGTCCGTTTCTGCTGCGGGAAAATAACAACCACAGAGTGTGGAGAAATACATCGCTGAAACGTGGAGGGGCGACTGTCGCGAGGCCATCAATTATTCGCTTAATTCTCGAAACAACGCATCGCATTATTCACCAATTCTCCAGCTCGACCTCACAGCCGCATTCCTCGTCTCGTTTAGATAGACCCTAGACCATCTCTTTGTTCTGTTCTGGTCTGTTGTGCATGGCCTCAGCCCGTGGTTTCCTGCAGCTACCCTCCACAGTCCACCCTCTCCCCTCCTCCGTCTTAGTGCGATTGATGCACCCTCGGCCCAGTGGCATCTTTGCGCCATCTCTCGCCGTTTTGGAGCTATGCCCGCGGTCCTGGTCCAGAATATGACATCTTTACCGAATACGCAAGCTCCCATCATGGAAACCCCCACTGCTGACAAGAAGCGCAACAAGTTGGGATACCATCGCACATCAGTCGCATGTGGTGAGTGGATGTCACATCCCATTCTCGTTCCTGTTAAGCACACGCGTTCTTTTTTATTCTCACCGGCCGATCAAGTGCTCATGCTCTGGCGCAATAGTACACTGCCGACGGCGGAAGATTCGATGTCTAGTGGCAGCCGACGACCCCCAGGGTCGATGCGAAAACTGTATCCGTCTGCGCAAGGAATGCCAGTTCTTCCCGGTTGACCAGCAGCCTCCCGTGGAGAAGAAGTCCCGGCCAAACTCTAGACTAGAAAGCGCATCAACAGATCCTTCGACTACCTCTTCATCACCTCCCACGATGGGCGGAGGTGCTGACCATTCCGAGTCATTCTTCCCTTACCAACCCATGCCCTTAGACGCGAGCCAGGATGCGTCGGGGTTCCATGCAACTTCTTTTCCCGGCACTCCCATGCCGTCGTTCGTACCAGGTAGGCAGACAGACGCGGTTGTGTCGACAACAGCTTTTGCTGACTGAATCTCGTATCGTAGGGTCCACGGGTTTCGCGGCAGCACCAGCATTAGACCCGTCAGTTCCGTGGGACGAATACACGACGATGTCTGACCCCAGATACTGAGCGCAATGGCTGCGGGAAGCACCAGATGATGAACATGCCTCCTAACGCATGGAGTCCGGGACCGAACAATATGGTGCCTATGCCTCCCAACGCCGCAATGGCAACAACAACGCCAACAGTGCCGTCCCAGTCGCAGCCGATCAGCCCCGTACAGGCGTATGCCATGCAACCGGACGGCTCAGTTTGGCCAGTCCCCCAACCGACACGCTCAATGACCTTTCCGGCACAGCCGGAGATGGCCTCGTACCCGAATCCGAGCCAATTCAGCCAACAAATGCATCCGGACCTCAAACGCAGAATGACGAGTCCGGCTCAGGGATACCCCGGGACGCCTGTCAATCCTCAGAGTCCCCGCCTGCCGAGTTACAGGCGACAACGGTGTCGATGTCATACCCCGGCCAGCCAGCGGGTATGGGCTACCCGGGATGGCATGATATGAACGGTATGCCGACGATGAACGTAGTGCAATATCCTATGTATACGGCAGACCCGACACAGCAGGCAGCATTCGGAACTCCCGCGGCACATATGGGTCATCCCGGGCAGGGCCCGCCGCCGACTTCATGAGCTAGCTGCTTTACAACCGACCCCGGAAGAAGGATATTCGACAAAGAAAGGATTTTGTTTTAGAATAATACCCAGTGGCACGCATGCATTCGTTTATTTCGCTTCTCCGTTCATACGAATTTCTCGTCATGGCTTTTCACCTTGCACATTGGTCATTAGCGGGCGCAAAAAGGATCTTTTGGGCGGCATCTTCTGGTCATTCGTTTCTTCCATTGCGATACCTTTTCCGTGCGATATCATCTAGACTTGGCGACCTTTTCAGCTCGCATTTTCATTTATGGTTCCTTCCTTCATCCACGATCTACTCTCTCATTTTCAACATCTCATTCATCTCTTGGCATGAGACCAGTATCAGTTTGCTCGAGTTCTTACTATCTACGAGATCGGCTCAAGCAAACACTGTCCCAGTCGATACTGCTTGGTCCTTCTGTTTGCCATACCTCTGTTTACGGCCTGTTGACTCTCTCAGATATGCCTGTTCACCACCACCACCACATTATCATAATATCCCTGTTTCACGACATTGACTACAACCGTCCCCATCTACCTCATGTTTGATTTAACTGTATAGACTTTCTTACCCCTTGCGAGAATTCCAATTGCCATGTCATATGATACCAAGCTGCATTGCATACATCGCTAGATTAGAAGCTAAAAATAAATGAACGGGTGATGAATCTGCTACGCATCATCTAGTCCAGCAGCTACTCGATAGGGATCAGACAGGTGTCGACTGTCAAGGCAGGAAGAAGTCGATCAGCTCCTTCAGGGGCCGTTGCTGTCCTGTGTGTAGATATGAATGCTATTATAGCCTCAACCTATTCGCGCGATGTCCGGATTCAGTCACAGTATACGAAACACCTGGGCCACAACAGCTTATATATTATCCAGCTCGACTCAGACGAGTATGAGATTGGACAGCGTCGAAAGGCTGGTCAAGTCGTATCTAAACCGAAGCTCACAATGTATACTCGACAGATGAGACCGTAGGTCGCGACGCATAGATCGACGGAACGGGTCAGGAGCCATATATCAATGACTACTCATACGCAGATGCCTGTAGATATGTATACTACTGAGAGGCCTAGATCTGTTATCAATAGCATCATCCAACCATTATCTTCCCTTAAATAACGTTACATTGCATTAGGGCTTGCCGTATGGACTACGTATATGGACCAATATACCGGGCCCGATATCTCCGCGGAGAATGCTCATCGATCACCATCTCCCTTGGCCGTGTAAGGTCTAGTGCTGCAGCGAGCTACGGTGCTTCGGGTGCGTGACCGTTGAATCCTCGGTACTCTACAATGCCTTTGTGCAGTTCTACCTAGAGATCATTGATGTTTCTTGAGTAAAAGCATAGGATCTGGAGTTGATCCTACGCCATAGGCATGAGATGAGGTGGCGACAATGCTGGTTGTTAGGCGAAACTATGATCAGTTGGCATGATGAGATGCCAATAATGGAGCATGCTTCTTATCAGGACGCATCTCGTAGAAGAGCAGGGATTGTATCTGTGCCAGGATCTCGGCGAGCTCAGTCGGATGAGCCGCTCAGAGATATGATAACGGCTCATAAGTGCTTTCTCCTGTGTGCAATTGAAATGAGTCAATTGATCCATGAGATCTAAAGGTGATAGAAGAGAGCATTCTAAGATATATTGAGGTCCATCGCATGGAGACCGAATAGAAGTATCTGGGGTTTGTGTGGAGAAGATCTGGAGGATACGCAAAACAGCCTCAAGCCATGTTGATACTACCCTTGGCATTGACCTGATAACGCCATCACCTCGTAGCCATTGAGGACGCTGAACTGCCAGCGGCGCTTTCCTATTGCTCCTGTAGATGGCAGGGTATCGTGACGTGTCGGGTGCAAATCACGGTCTTATCTCCAACGCCCAGGAGTCTAAGATGCAAAGTTATCGCGGAGCAGCTCTCCTCTTCCAGTGATCGGGCTTGGTTCTTTCGGTCTGAAACAAAGGCGAGCATTCAACAGTTATCACTTTCCGTGAGGCCTTATCATGAGGCTGTGGAGTGATGACAAACTCCGGATTACTTTTGCGTGTGTCTCAGTCTGCGAGCCAATCTTATATACTCCGTAGGAGCCATGGACTCGTGTCCTGTTTCATTTTTCCTGCTCCTCATTATCAGGTACATTGGAGAGCCTTAGGTTTCGGGCTTCCAGCCACGCCCTCCGATTCTGACAAGTCAAGTGTCGACTGCATGTGATGACTCTTTCTATAAACTGGCAGTATTCCCTTGTCCTCCTTCTGAACATTCACGCCTCGAAATGCCCCTCTCCTTGGCAGCCAACCACGCATCCAGCAATAGCATCGACGGATGTGGACCATCCTTATGCCCACCAACAACTCATTCCTCAGCATTACAAATTCATAACTGTTTTCGAGAAATAAGGCGATCTCTTTGAGATTCTTCAATTGCCACAGCCGCTGTACTGATATGTCAACATGCAGCCAGGAGAAGCGGGGAAAGGAGTTTGGTTTATTTTCTGCTTTCCCGCCGCACCCGCCAGAAATCCCCTGCTGACAACCATGACTGGCTTCTCCCCGTGCGGTGGGGGGGGATGGCTGGAGCTTCAGCCTTTCCATCTCATCGGCATTATTCCTCCACGAATATCCTGAGACCAAAAGTACCCTTGGGTATTGACCAGATGGGTAACTGTCCATCTGATCTCGCTCATTGGACCATGCCAGAGGTCCCCTCTATGGCTCCAGTCCGATCCATTACTAGTTTCGACTCTCAACGGCAGAGTGGCTGAATCCTACTGAATAGTCATGGTACGTACCGCGACAATATGCTTGTCTTTGCCAGAGACTAACACAATCCGAGGGGCTACGATTCGGGCTCTCTTTCGCTTGCCAAACGGGCCGAGTGTTTGAGTAGTACCACTGCGTACGTCAGTTGTCTTACATCGCTTCTTATGCTCCGCGCTGCTTATGGTACTCAACTCCGTGCTACGGAGTACAGACGTATAATCCCAGTGATATCGTTTGATATTGCTGATGTGGAGTCGATCGTCGTTTGTGCTTGCCGGTCACAGTGTCCAGTATTGGGCCATCGCTGCATACACAGCTGGATCTGCTATTGCCACAACTGTTTGGGTTTCTCCAGGAATCCTCCTGGGATTCTCCGCCCACCTGGTCCGGAACTCAAACAGTATCACCGTTACTGTCGGCCTATCACTCTCATCTAGTTGCAAAGCACGCGACAATACCTTGGTCGGTCGGCTATATTGCATCGGATCAATCATTGCTTTGCCCATCGTTCTTCGTATTCCTCGGAAGCTCTTCAAAATGTATTCGACCAGGATAAATTGCTATCCGTCAACCAATGGCCCCTGCCGGAAAGCAATAATCCTCATACAATGGATAATTGGTGATCAGCAAGCATCACCTCGGTTCGTCAGCATTGGGAAGCAGTGACTAGTGTCGGCCACAGTCTCTCAGTGGCTGCTCATGCGCCACGCACCCACTTTCATTTAGCTGTCCCTGACAAACCACTCTTGGCCCAGCAAGTTGTCGCGCGTTTTTTGCCACGATTTATGAGCAAGACCAGTTACCATTTTAAGAGGTGATGTAAGTTTTCGAAGACCAAGGCAGTCTGACAGCCCGAAGAAACTGACATAGTAATTGCGTCGACTGCGATTCGTCGCGATCGGCGATATCTGATGGTCCTATTGGTCACGGAATGACCAAGGCTAATTACTTTGTCCTGGCCTTATCAGCATTATCTTGGCTTATCTCAATTCCGGTGTGGGATACACCATATCTCTATCTTTATCAGACGCTAGTGCCAGTGGAGTCCTGCCCTCGTTGTCCATCGCGTGGGGCCGAGAACAGGATATTGTATCCACCCGACGACATTGCATATCTGCCTGTTAACATTCTGATTGTTACTGGCCGTATATGGAACGACTAGCGGGTTTGCTATTACCTGCAAACCGAGTCAGCTACCCCTAGGCTCGGCTTGTCGATACACGCGAGGCATATGCCGCCCTGGCAATTTGCGCTGGGGTCCCAGTTTGACAGCTTCTTTTCCAGCGCTCAATGGCAAGAGCTGGAGCCGTACTTTGTACCGTGCTTGCTATCATTTTGCCGGTGACTGCATGAGGACTACTAATCCATGCTTCACTAATTGAGCGACAGGAATGGACCACTGCTCAAGGAGGAAAGGATGCACATCACTGCCCTGCCTTCCCCTCCTCCCCGATGATCGCATCCGCGCGATTGACAGTTGCCTGATCCATACTTTCCAGCTGAGGGACATGGCATTGCGTTTCAGAAAGATGGACAGATTGAGCACCAACCGTATTCATTCAATGACGATGTGAAGCCATTGAACCCGAAATGGAGAAGTGGCCGAGACCCCGCAATAAGAGAACCGGTTCAACGGTGGGGATCAAACACCAATTAATCTGGAAGTCTGAATCACCGACGGATTGGCTTGTGGCTTCTACTGCTGGTACATACTAACTCTGGCAAGAAGGCACGTCTGTAAATGCTCCAGCTGGCCGTAATTCGCCAGTGCCTGTCTTTTGAAATGTGGTGACGAGCCTTACCATACGCCGCTTCATTACCGGTTTTATACCAAACCTCGGGTAAAATAGGAATTTTGGTAATCCCGGTGAGGTTCGATTCCCAATGCGCCTCTAGATCCTCTACTATTGCTACTGCTTTCTGTCGTCTGCGTGCAAGAGCCGGAGTAGTATCCTCCAATTAACCTTCCACCTAGCATTTCCTCAGATGAAAGCAATGCCGGGATTCCCCCTCCGAACTGATAGCAGCCGATACTCGGGCGAGAACGACAAACAAGCTTATGAGGTGTCGCTCAGCCATGTCGGCAATGGTCTTGTCTGAGCCTCTGACTCTCGAGATCGGAGTCAACGATTTGTTCCGGTTTCAAGCCACCTAGCCGATGCTTAGTGTGCTATCTAATTTCGGGACGTGTCCGGTCCAGATGGATGCCCGAGTGTTCGACCTCGAGTCCCGCCCCGCCGAGGAACTTACTCCTGGAGTAATGTGGATTTTTGGCTTGATTGTGGCTCATGGTGCGGTGTTCCTGGCCGATGAGCGGAGCAACAGCTTATGAGTATACATTTTTGTAGTTCTCACTTGGCGCTTTCGGGGACTTGAGGAAAGGACACGGTACCCAACGAGGCCCAAATCGGCCCGAATGGGTCTCTCCGTCAAGCCTTTGAGGCGCTAAGCAAGGGACGAGGTGCGAATGCGGATGGCGTCTCGTCTCATGCAGAGCAGAGGGTGCATTGACTACGGAGCACTCCCTAGGAGCTTTGATCCTGATTTCTGATGGTCTCTTCTTAGCTTGACAGCTTGATGTTTCGCTGTATACTAACAATATATCCCATTCTTGCTATTCTCTGGATAGTCTGAGTGTCTCAAATGCTCCGTTTCTCGGCCGAACGCCCTCGTTTTTGCTTATGTGTACAGCTGATAGTATGCTGGATCACCAACCGCGATGACTTCGCAATGACATGGATGGCGAATTTTGCTGATCTGTACCTGTTCCTCAGCAACCCATAACCATGCCTCATCGGCCAGAAACCAAAGGGATCGGCTGTTCTAACCCTACATCTAACCCTACAACTGAATAGACACTGGCATTATACCCTGGACCTGATCAGTGATTCGTGCAGAATCTCATTGGAGGAAATATAGATCTAGAGCTGGACGACATGCCGGCCCGCATTGACCTAGATCTTGAACTCGCGACTTGCAGTAGCAAGTTTAGACTGAAAAGGAGCTTGTCTGGATGTCATTATCTACATTACGGCGTATCTACTCAGCAAGTGCAGAACAATATTACTTGCAAGCGGTGGGACTTTGTAATGATACAGGGGGTGTAAGACCGGAATTATCCACGCACGAATCAGATTACTTTGAGCACTCTGGAAGGATCAGCCTCGGAAGCGTGTTAGATGATTAGATCCCTGGTGGCTTGGAGGAAATGAATGGCTGAGTATTCTGATTGGGCCAATAGGGGCGGAGAGGCTGGTTAATACCTATTAGCCGTTGGTAGTTCAATGGGTCGGATTATTTCCGTTTTAAGAGATGCTCTCTACTTTCAGTTCTTTCTCTGCGTAGGTTTTACTTACTCCTGCTGTGAGACACATTCGTCTTTGTACATCCAAGGAAGATGCACGACGACTATAAGGTAAATGCCTCAGCAGTGATTCTTAAGGTACTGTGTACTTCGTAGGCTAAAGGTACTTCAAGGTTGCATCAATTGACTGCTTCGAGAACATCCTTGGCCAAAGTTAAAAAGGCAAATGCAAAGGCTAAACTCCGGCTTAGACCCGGAATTACTGGTACTGGTAATACCAGCGTAAGCCTGCGGTTCATCATATGAAAGCGATCCGTTGAAGTTCCGCTGCTTGTTTAGTGCCATTCGAACCGGAAAAAAAATGGAATAATTAGAGTGTCAAATAACGCATACTTTCTACAGAGGAGGAGGTTGAAGGCAGCTTTGAGAAATAGAGGAGGTAGCTGGAATTCAATTTATAGATCGTGTGTGGTGTAGGTGGAAGATTCAAGGTTACCAGGATGGAGCGACAGATTGATGAAAATTACCTTTAATAGCCAAACCAAACCCACTTGAAGCACATGGATATGCATGGTGTAAATGGTCTTGCGCTCTTAGACTCTAGGTCTTAGCAACATGGTATGATCTATAAAAGAATGATGGATTACCAGATGCATAATAAGAAAGTATTATGCTTCTGCACCGCCCGGGGTTGAATTCTCTTTTGATTTCTTCTTTCTTACGGCGGAAAGTAGGAAAATCTTAGGACACATCATTTGCCTCAGTCCCCAAGATCTGGAGAGTGACTGTGTAGCAAACCAAAGTCCAAGACCCAAGTCCACCGTAAGTTCCTCCACCCTCGTCATCCATCTTCATCGTTCCCCTCCTCTTCCGTCTGCCGTCCATCCTTCTTCCCCTTCGCATCATCCTCTTGCAATTTCGCTTTTATTTAGACTTTTCTTTGATTCTTCACTTGAATCCTTCCTCCCTCCTCCTAACTCATCGGGCGCTTGGACTGGTTGCCCGGGGGTTCTGCTCGTCCTCGTTTTTTTTTTTGACTCATTCCTTGCTTTTTTCTTTGTCTTGCTCTGTGCTTCGATCCTGCTTACCCTCCTCCATTTTTGTCCGCATACTTTAATCCTGCCCTGGCCATGTGTGTCTGAAGGGTCTAGCCTCCTGCCTCTAGGCGATTACAAGCAAGAATCACAAGAGAACAAATCATCTGTTCTTCATAAACCAATCGGACACAGTTGACCGAGAAGAAAGAATCATACATAGACAAAAGAGGGCAAAAGTACTTGCACTTGTGATCAAGGTAAGCTGCTTATTGAGCACTGACGTTTTCCTTGCTATTGCTTTTTTCTTTTTGCTTTTTCTTTTCCATCATCGGACTTCAGGACTTTTGATCCTTCATTCCCAATGGGCGTAGCTCGTCTTACTCATATTACTAGGTACTGCGACTAGTTCAGCCGATCCATCTTCACAGGCCGCCGCCGCTGCTCGTTCCACCGAACAACCCTCATACTGCGTTGTCGTCGGCCTCGACCAGACCCTAGCCAAATAAAGCACTAATCGGCTTTCTGCACCTAGAATATCTAGCAGCCGATCGACAAATCAATACCTTCGACCAGGGTCTCGGGTTTTGTCGTTTACGGCGGGTAGAGTGGAATTCCTCGTGCTTCCTCCAATCGACGACACGCACAATTATTTCCCCTCCCCTCCGTGCGTTCGCTCTGTCCTCCTCCAATTGCTTCCCTTGGAATCTCGCAGCTCTCTCTCTTATCTGTCGCGCTCTCTTCGCCCACCGTGCGATCTATTTCCCTACTCTGTCTGCTTATCTTTTCTTCGGTTTGCATTCCTTATACCAATAAGGAGACGACAGGGTGCATCTAACCCTGCCACGACGGGATAATGTCGGGGATGAGCCATGGAGGAGCGCCTAAAGCAGCGCGACCGACTCCATCCGCTGTCTCCGCCTCCTCTGGTTACGACATCGCCGACGCTGACCGATCATCCTCTTCCCATTTCCACCACTCCTCCCAGTTGTCCGACGATTTCTCCCTTGGTTCTCCCCTCAGTCCACCTGACTCCGCTCATGTCCAGGACGGTTTGCTCCAGGACTCTCTCTTTCCCGAGTGGAGGAACGCTGCTCCCGACACGGGGTAGAAAGCCCAGATGAGATGCAACGGAAGGATCCACTGGCTACTCAGATATGGAAGCTCTATTCTAGAACAAAAGCTCAGCTACCCAACCAGGAGCGCATGGAAAATCTCACGTGGCGCATGATGGCTATGAGTTTGAAACGTAAGGAACGCGAAAGGCTTCAACAGAATCGGTATGTCTCTGATGATTCACATGCTTGGACTATCGCGTTTTTTGTTTTTTTGGGTGGTCATGGTGAACTCATCTTATTCTCTTCTACGATATAGTCCTTCGATGAAGAACAGTGGCAGCTCGGGACCGAGCGGTATTGCCCAACTCCGTCAGTCTGACCGCCCTTCCTTTGCACGGCCATCGACGTCCACCGATCTTGCCTCCGACCCCATGAACATCGACGACTTTATCGTTCCTATCGAGTCGCCCGCCGATCGCCCTCGGTCACCCCAACAGATAAAGCGGCCACCTCATCCATGGCGATCCCCATCAAGTCTCGCAAGGACCAATCGGCCGATTCCGCTCCCGTGCCGGCCTCCTTCCCTCACCCACCTCAGGACCAGCGCAGAAACAACGAGTTTGGCTATGTACCCCGCCGTGTGCGCAAGACAAGCATCGATGAGCGTCAATTCTTCAATCTCCAGATCCCCACTCGCAAGCGGCCAGCCGAGTCCTCTCCGCAGGTGCCGCCCGTGTCGAACGCCATGTTGGCTCAGGATCCCCATTTCTCGGCTGGTGTTCCTGATTATACCCTTGATAATGCGTCCTCTGGATTTGCTCTCCACCATAACGCCCAAAACCACCACCACAACAATAACCTCACGTCCCCTGGCGTCCCCTTTGGATTAGACACTTTCAGCTTGGGCGAAGATCCGATTCTTTCGTCGGCCGGCCCTTACCAAGCGCACTTTACTTTCTCTCCCGGCGACTCTCCCATGACGTCAGCCAACCCATTTGCGAACGTATATGCCCAGACCCCGATTGCCTCGTCGCTTAATTCGACCGAATTCTTTTCTCCTCCTGCGTCGGGGTACCAGTCCTCCGTATCGACGCCTCAGCCCACATACGATGGGGATCACTCCATGTATTTCGATATGCCTTCGATGGACGCTCGGACTCAACGGCGTATCCCCAACTACATTACCCACCGTTCGAACTTGTCCGCTTCGCTGCAGCCGCGGTACATGTTTAACAACAATACCGGTAGCGAGCAGCAGCACGGGATGACCCACGCCAGCAACCCGTCATCCGCTGTTCATTCCCCAAACTATTCTGTCCCTCAGTCGCAGCATGTCGACCCGACGCAGGTGTTAAACCCAAGCGATTTCCCTACGTCCAACTCTCATGCCGGCATATTCTCTTTCGGTGCGGATTCTGACAACGAAGATGATGATGGCAACAACTATTCCGAGCGCGCTGGCCTGGCTATGCCCGCAGACTTTGGTGACGATAACGCCGGCGACCTGAACGGCTTGCACTGGGACGGTCAGTTCCCTGGATCTTTCCACTCACTGTCTGGATTCAGCGCGCAGCACCGGAAACATGTCACGATCGGCTCGACAGACATGATGGACACTCCCAGCGAATGGAACCAAGGCAGCAGTCTTGGCCGCACGCACGGATCCGCTGCCTCGGTCAGTGAGGTGCGCAACCGCGAGCAAGACCCTCGTCGTCAGAAGATTGCCCGTACCACATCGACCCCGAACACCAACCAGCTGCTGCGCCAGAGCATGAACAATACTTCTCACACATCACCGAACACCCCTCCGGAATCGGGACTCAGCAGTGCTGTTCCGTCCCGGCCGGCGAGCCCTGGTGGCTCCAAGAATGGCGATCAGAGTAATGGGCCAACCACATGTACGAACTGCTTCACTCAGACCACCCCACTGTGGCGCCGTAATCCCGAGGGTCAGCCCCTCTGTAACGCCTGCGGTCTGTTCCTCAAACTACATGGGGTGGTCCGTCCACTATCGCTGAAGACAGACGTCATCAAGAAGCGAAACCGAAGTAGCGCCAACAGTATTGCCGTGGGCGCCTCTCGTTCGTCCAAGAAGTCCTCTCGCAAAAACTCCGTTGCGCAGGTTTCCATGACGACACCTACATCGAGCCGCGCACAGAGTGGCACTACATCCGAATCCCCCCGGCCATTCCTGGAGGCGCGCCATCGGCCGCTGGCAGGACCGCAGCTGCAATGGGCAAATCTGGTGTGGTCCCTATCGCGGCAGCACCACCCAAGGCTACTCCTTCTACGAGCACTGGACAAAGCCGTAGCACCGTTCAGGTGGCCCCCAAGCGCCAACGGCGTCTGGAGAAAGCCAATGAGACGGACGCGGCCGACGACAGCAACAAGCCCAGCACATCGTCTGGTGGCCGGTCCAAGGTGGTTCCATTAGCACCTGCCATGCCTCCGGCGGCAGTGAACCCGGCCAATCATAGCATTGCTGGTGGTCAGGGTGCAAGCCAGGAATGGGAATGGTTGACCATGAGTTTGTGAGCTAGCACTTTCAAACGTCATCACCATTTACTGCTTTCTTTTCTTGCCGTTGAGATATTTTCCTTTACACCATGATTAATAGACGTGATGAATTACGCTCAAATCTGAGATCAACAAGATTGCGGGGGAGTTGCTCGCTAGACGAACAAGGTGTTTGGGAGTGTTGACCGCGGGCTGATTGACCATCTGCACTTCACGATTCAGATTTAGGACCATCTTACGATCAAAGGGTGCAGCAACCTGGTTCGTCGAGCATAGTGGCTGGTATCTTAATGGTTGATATGAGTTATATGATGCCTCTTGCCTTTGGTTGATGTGGCCCCTGTGGGCGGGCGCGATCCATCTTTAATACGATGCATCCTCCATGCTTCGATCTCAGTGGCACGCCGATAATGATTCGACTCTGTTCATGCCGAGATCAGCCTCTCGTCGGCGGTGTAGGACCGGGAGATTGGATACACCAAGCTTGTCTACGTTTTTATGTTGATTTGATGATTTCAGTTGCTTGATACAATCGCGTCTGTCCGGACCCCAGTCTTCCTTTTATGTTCGTGTCTTTTGTTCTGTTTTTCGGTTTCGTTGCATGCTCTCGGGACTTGGGGCCGGGCAGAAGTGCGCATCTCTGCTTGATTGTTTCACTTTTCTGTCTGATGGTCTGAGATTATTCTTAATTAGATAGACTATGCCGAGCTTTGTATCGGTCAATATACGCGATTTTTCATTCACCTCGCAGAAAAGTAGCCTTTCCAAGGAATCCATGCCCGACTATGAAGTCACTGTCCGCCTGCGTGGTCATGACATCACCATCTTGAGAACATATATACCTCTGCCATCATATATTGCATGCTCGCTTAGGTATCAAGCATCCAGCCAAACCTCAATTCATCACATCAACAAGTCGAAGGAACTGAACCCACCATGTCCGGAATGGCAGTACGTCCTCCCCACCCCGAGAACAAACACCCCATTGACAAATACAAATACCAGGGCGACAATCGCTCTTCCTACGAGGGTAGGCACCAGTCCCTGTCCGCTTTATCCCCTCAGGCATATCTAACTCAGTGGTATGACACGGACAGAAGAAGCCACCGACCCCATCACACCCACCCTACACAACCCATCCCAGTCCTACGCCGACCACACCAAAGAATCGGGCAGTAGTGTCGCGGAGAAAATCGCCGAGGCGATGCAGCCTGGTTTGTACCCACTACCCCCACCCCCTTCTCCTTCCTCACCCCGGGGAAAAGCTTTGGCGATGGTCGAGTTGATATTGAGGGGCTGCAGGCGATAACAAGAGCACGACGAGGTTGTTGTCGGATACGCCGACGGGGATGCCGGCTGGGGAGTGGGAGGCCACCATGGGAGAGGGGGTGGACGGCGGGATCGGGAGAAGGAGGAAGAGGGGAAGGGGGTGTTGCAGGCTGCGCAGGAGGCTGTTGCGAAGGCGCTGGGGGGTGGGTCGCGGGGTATGTATTTTTTCCTCGTTTGGAGGTGAGGTACGGTTGCTAATAGGGAGTATCTTAGGGGCTAGTTGAGATGGTTGCGTTCGATGACTGGTATCTGGGCGATGGAAATATATGACTTTGATAAAAGTGCGCAAGAACGCAATGTCATTCTTCTTTTTAGTATTGTGAGAGACGAGAATCACCGACACTGTGCCTGGCTATAGCTGTACTCCAGGCCATACAGCAGTCCCATGACATGAGCACCAATGGAAAACGTCACAAAGACATGCCATATCGTATGCGAGTGGCCCCAAATATCGAATGCACCCGGGTACAGGCTCTCAGGAACTCTCCTCTGCAGTGGGTCAGCAATCTTTCCCCTTCTGCACACAATTGAAGGAAAGTCTACCTCCCAAAAGTAGCAACCGATGATCAGAAACAACCCTTCGAGCAGGTAATACTGCACGCCTATCTTCCAGAGATACGGCACGCCCCAAAGCACGCACGCATGGCCGATTGGCGCAAACGCCGAGAGACCGGTGCAGATGAAGCTGGCCAGGCGGAACGATCGCCACTCGGGAGCCCTGAACTGCGGACTGAGGAGGGCCACGGCGGTGGCGGAGCTGAAGGCCAGAATCTACAAGCATCCATATCAGCATTGAGTCCCGCGACTGGGATTACACTATGAGCAGGGCAACTGACAAGCGACCAGTAGAAGTATTTCAGCTGCGGGTTACAATAGAACCCGAAATGCAGTCCACTGATGAAATCGCCCAGAATGAGCGCGATGATCCCGATATAGTCGAGCTGGAGCCAGCGGTGCGCGACGGCTGCGGAGTGGTTCAGCAGGGTGTGGTACGTCGTCGATGTCAGGAGGCATATTGAGGCCGTGAGAAGCTGCAGCGAGACGATTGACCAATCGAAGTTGGAAAGGTTCTCATGCTTTGTGCGGATGTACTCGTACAGGATGCCCTGGAACGAAAGCAACAGGATGCCCGGGATCAGATGCGAGTAGATGTTTCCCGTTTCGTTGTGGCAGTAGAGCCAACTGGCGAAGCTGCGATAGTAGGATCGGCTCTCGGGACGGTATCCTGAAAGGACAAACGGGTTGGGATCGTACCATGGTGGAAGCTGCTGGATGGTGAGGAGAGTTTGTTTCTTGTCGAGCTGCAATTGATCATGTCCTCCGCTCAGAGCGATCTCCTTGATCTGTTTAGAGCGGATGATCCGGAAGCGGAGGAGCCCGTTGAAGACCATCTTGCTATTGTTTGTCCCTGGAAGAAGCTGTCAAGGGACATCCTGACCACATAGGTCATGCTGAGAAAGGATCGAGTAATGATATAGGAGTAAAAATAATGGCTTAAGCCTTGGAGGTAAAAAGAATGATGAGCATCAGTTTCTCCCTCGCATCCTCCCATTCTTGGATCGTCAAGGTCCACTCATAGCGAACCATGCGGTTACGCCGGCGAATATGATTGGGAGATCACAAGGAAAACAAGCAAAGCAATCACTGCAAGGTCCAGCCTCTGATTGGAGAGAAATGACAGGTCAACATGACTTTCAGGGGAAAGAGTGGCCGGCCGCATGTTGAGTTGCTACGGTAGTGCTTGGCTGGTAGCAAATGTACGCCAGTCTACAGAGTAACAAAGTTTTGGACCATTACCCCAGTGTCTCTGGAATCTTCAGCTGACAGTATACGGCTCCTACTGCAAAGCATATGATTGTGTACTACGGAGTATGCTGTCTGCCTTTTCCGCCAGATAAAATGCTGCCTCAGGCGAAAACCACGTGTACTCACGTGATTCTGCATCGAAAAATCAGACTGGGCATGAAAATATGCCGAAATTTACATTGGCTTTGACGGCCCCATCAGCATATTTATTCTTTTTGAAGCAAGACTTAGTATTCTTCTACGCTCAGGGAGGATACCCACCTCATAGTAAACTCGCAATCGAGACCTTGTGCGTGGTTCAAAGCGGAGGGTAAAATTGAGTATCTCGGCTTTGATTCTGGAACATCTCCCCATCCCATCGAATTAGCACCCACAGCCTATATTCCGGGGTTCTGTCATCATGGGCTCCAGCACGAAAAGGAAGAAGGAAAAGAAGAGCGATTTCCAGGTAAGTCATGCATCAGCCCTGCACTGGAGCATTACTAACAGCGGCCCAGAAAACAAAACTGAAAGTCGGCAAGACGAAGGCAAAGCCTGACAACTTCACCGACACAAGTTTCAGAGCCAAAAGTACGCAGCCTGCTCTTGCATGTACATGCATATGAAGTGCTAATAGGGCCGTCACAGCAATCACCCTCAACCAACAATCCCTTCACATCACCGCCCCATCAGCAGACGCCCAATTCACTCACCACGTCTCTTTGCTTTCTTCCAAGTCCGACACCCAGCGCCGCGACTCGCTCGCGCACCTGACCACCTCCTTCGTCTCAAGACCAGTAGACTTCCCCTCCCCCAGCCCGTAAGCGTCCTCCTCCCCACCCTCCTCCCCCTGATCCTAGACGCAAGCTCCAGCGTCCGCGCGCAGCTTCTCAAGCTTCTGCGCGCGCTGCCAGCCAATGACATCCAGGACCACGTCCCGCAACTCCTGCCCTACATCCGCGCAGGCATGACCCACCTCGCAGCCGACATCCGCGTCTCGGCCGTCGAGGTGCTCGCATGGCTGGTGGACGTCGCAGGGGCCGAGGTGGTTTCCTGCGCCGGGGGGTGGATCAAGACGCTGAATTGCTTCCTGTCTGTGCTGGGCTGGCACACGGAGGAGTCGTCCAAGTGGTCGGGGAGTCGGGCTTCGTTCGGCAAGTCGGGCGCGAAGGGCCAGCCGATGGTTAAGGTGTTGGCCGCGCTGGCGGTGTTCCTGCAGGCGGGGATCGGGCGGCCGGATGACATGATGGATTCTTCGGACGAGGATAGTGCGATGGGGGTGCCGGGATGGGAGTTCCCGCTGTGTCATGCGGCGCTGCATATGCTTCCGCAGGCGACGGCGCCGTTTGTGCATCTTAATCTGTTTGGGCAGCCTCGCGATGAGGAAGGGGAGATGTACGAGACACGCGAGGATCGGTACCGCGTGTTTGAAAATCGCTTTCTGGGGGCTGTGCAGCGCGGTTTGGAGGGTGCGCGCAGTGAGGGCGGGGAGGTTGGTCGGGCTTCTGCGGGTGTGAGTAAGGTGCTTAAGGAGGCGATTGCGTATGGGCCGGGGGCGTGAAACTCCTTCGGCCCTAGAAGCGGTGGATACGTTTACGGCATCTCGCACACGTCAAACAGTGTCGGAAAAGTCTGACACCGACGATCGGATGGATCATCCGAAGCCGCTACAATCTGCTTCGATGATGACCTTCAAACCCAATGGACAGTGCAGTCATTAATAGGAATGGCTATCAGACTGCACCTGTGTCTCCAGATAGGACACGCCTCAGAACAGAGCGCGCAGGCGGATACGATAAAATACTGCTCCTTCGGGGACCTACAGCGACTGAAAGATCAGGTCAAGGAACATATCATATCAGCCCCTGTTACTACATAGACAAGCGAATGGAACTACTTCAGAATCGTTTCTCTGATATCCCGTCCTTCACGCCGAGCATCTTCTCTTCGCGGCCCACGCCCTCCCCCAATACCTCCTCCGAACCCACATCCACCCCTCCACAGTCCCCTGCTATCGTAAATCTCATCCGCCAGCACAGCCCGCTCAATCAAGGTCTCCCGCGCCGGGAACCAAAGCGACAGACCCACATAGACGATACTCGTCCCCACAAAGCCTAACAACCACCCAAACTGGTACGGATGGATCCCAACCCCAACATCAATGCTACTGTTCACAGACGCGATCAAACCCGGTAGATTCGGCGCCACGCCAACCAGAAACGCGACGAGGGCGCGCCAGTTCGTCCCCACGCGGAGTACCGATACGTCGGGTTCGAGGGCTGATACAGTGCCAGGGTATCGTACTTCCGCCGCTTGACGAGCCAAAAGTCCCAGAGCATGATTGCACCGACGGGGCCGAGGAAGATGGCGTACGCGGACATGAAGTTCAGGAAGCTTCCTGCGGACGCGAGGATCTTCCAGGGGACGAGGCACCACGACAGGACTGCGCAGATGATCTGCCCGCGGCGCAAGTTGATGTACTGCGGGGCGAGCGCGGTCAGGTCGTTGGCGGCGGAGATGGAGTTGGCGGAGATGTTGACGCCTAGAGAGGCGAGGGCGAAGGAAAACGCGGCGAAGAAGCGGCAGGCGCGGCTGGTCCAGTGGCTGATCAGCACAATCGGGTCCCAGGGGATGTCGCCACCGTATCGAGACTGGCCGGCGGAGGAGGCTGCGATGCCGATGAAGGAGATGAAGGTGAAGACGATGGGGAGCATGGGGATGTAGAGGAGCTGCCATTTGGGGCTGACGCGAGAGTAGCGAGAGAAGTCGGACTTTGTCGGTCAGCATATCGGTGTTACCTCTGGGGGGTGCATCACATACCTGATTCACGCTGAGCGTGGCATAGTTCCCCAGTACAGACGTCATATTCGCCAGGAACAGCCAGCTATACTTGGACCCGGAAACCGTGGGCTTCTGGTCAAAGATCGCTCCGCCGCCCTCGGCCACGAACGCCCAGACGAGAATCGCCAGCCACGCAATGGGCACGATGATCGATTTGGCAACGAACAGCCACCGGACTTTGTTTGGATGAATACACAGGAACGGGAACTGCACAATAAAAAAGATTAGGTATCCCACCATCCCGGCAGTCGTGATGCCCTCGTCCTCGGGGATGTCATTCTTCAACGTCAGGAAACTCGGCCAGATGGCGCCGATCATGCACCGCACGGCATTACCGCCGTTGACATTCTGTATCGCAAACCAGAAGATTGCCAGGATCACGCGAGAGATGATGGCGACGTAGGAGCCCCAGAAGCCCCAGCTCGCCCGGGCGATAACGGGAAACGGGATGTGGTAGATGGCGCCGACGGCACCATTCGCGGCAATGACGAAGGAAATGATGAGGAATGAGATGGCCACGATGGAGAGGGACTCGCGCCAGCTCAACCCCACAGCGATGATGCTACTGGCGAACTGCCATGTTGCGGCGTTGAAAGCGTCGGAGATCCAGTACGCTATGGTCAGGGTCAATATCCAAGACCCAAAAAGTGAAGCGGCGGTATCTCACCGACAAAACTCAATGGACCCCATTTTCGACGGTGACGAGGGACAGGATCGAGATCGAGGTTGGTCCAGCGGGCATTTCCCTCTGCGAAAGCCGACTTGGGCTGGGTGACGCGGAGACGGGGTCGTCTGAATATCATCCTGGGGACGGTGGAGTATTACTGTAAGACTAAGAACGTTCAACAAGAAATCATGTGGAGCACAGGTAAATTATGAAGAATAGAGAAGAGAAAATGCGATTATGTTTGCATGCAGATGGCTTATCAAGGGAGGGGTGATGCAACGTCCGAAGTACTCTGCGTCACCATCCATACACCTCAGTAGATATATTCCGTCGCTGTCTATCGAGGAAAACAAAGCCAATGTCATTAATCCACTATTCCCCAGGTTTTTAAGCAGAGGAGCCTACCTATATATATCTATCCCAAACACTAAGACCATGACATACTCCTCAAGATAAGCCAGCTCGCCCTGCTGATAAGCCAGCTGAATCCCTGCAGGCCAAGCGCACCGTCGACTTATCAGTTCACCATCTCATTGGCGAAATTCTCCTCCAGTGTAACGCCATCAAAAGTCTGATAAGAATCCTGTCTGATCTTTAAGAGAGTACCGTGTGTGGCGATTCGTGCAGATCACTTCGCGTCCCCCATGGTTGATAAGTAGCTGGAGCCATGATTCCGGCAGTGTTGATGGGAGTATAGATTGTCCTTGCCTCTGTTAAAAGAGGACAAGTCCTTCGAAGACAGTTTCTGGAAAGGCAATGAGGGGATCATTTAACTCATGCACTTCATGCCAGACTGTTCCACCAAACAGTGGCTCGGGTTTCAAGGTGTCAAGTTGACCAATGCTACCAGCATATGAGAATAGATACTATACGCTTCAAGTATAGTGGCCAGCAAAATTGACCTGATACTAGTGTTGGTTACCAGTGTAAACCGTTCATCTTAATCTTAATCTTTCCATTCTTGTACACCGGTTCTGGTCGCTTCATATGGCATATTGAAACACGTAGAGATCACGGATTACTCCTTCTCTCCAGGCAGTCTCACATCTTCCCATCCCCTCCCATCACCAACACCAGGCAAGCTTCCCACACGCCGGATCCCCTTCCACTCAGTAACGTTCATCCACCCAATCTGCTGCAAGCCCCCAAACCCGCCGATCCAATACACCTGCTCTACTACCATCTTCGCCCAGTAGCTTGAATGCGGTGCCCCAGGCTTCCCTGGCAGCCAGACACTCGCATCCGGATGCGCGCGCAGATAGCACTCCTCCAGCGCTGCCTCTGTATCCCCGCGTAGAGGCGTATCAAACGGCTCCACGTACCCGATCAGCGTGACACGGGGGAGACCTGCTTCGCTAGGGGGGAACTCGGGCGCCAAGGGCTCGGTCTCGTTCAGGTGGTCCCACCAATCGATTGCGAGGCTGATGTTCGAGCCGGCGGCGGTGTTGCGAAAGGTTGTTGAGACGCGGAGGGCGAGAAAGGTCGGGTTGCCGTCGCCACCGTTGTTGATGTCTGCGGGGAGGTATTCGTCGCAGTCGGCAATGTACTCTGGGAGGCTGATGGGGAGGCCGGCCACGGAGGCGGGTGCGTGGGAATTGCCGGGGAGCGGATCGGGGAAGATGGTCGAGACGGTGCCCGTGGTTGAGAGAGCTAGGAGGCGACGGGCCATGAGTGTTGAGGTGAACCAGGATGGTGCTCGCATTGTCTCAGGTTCCCCGATGTGGATGACATCACTGTGTTGGACATTGTCTTGTGTCGGTATTGACGGAACAGATTGGTCTTTATATGGCTCGCTAAGAAGCACCTGGTTGACGGTATTGTCCTGCAGAAGAGCCGATGGGATAGCGGTCGCTTGCAGGACATGACCAACAAGAAGAGCAAGTGCGGAGAAAAGGGTGGCATGACCCATCTTTTCGAGAGAAACAACCTGAAAGTCTGGTTGGCTGGCGAGATGCTATGAGTGTAGTCTGTCTGTGGAGATATGGATGAAAGCACTCTGTGGAAGAGAAGAGGTCGCCCCTTTTAATAGCCCTGCTGGGGTCGGTAACACACGGCTTTGTGCAGATGACCAGAAGCAGAAAGCGCGTGAGGGGAAGGAGCAACAGACTACCGGCCATCTAATCTTATCTGATCCGGCTAGTCCTCAGGCAGCTAGGCTCCAACTCAACCTCGGCTATATAGAAACTAGAAAGGCTGAAATATCAGGTCTACTACCTCTAGTTTAGATGATTTAACTGGAAACATGGTACTATAGGCCAGAGAGCAGTGTTGCATCAGGGTGACCATGGTGTTCACCACCACCAGTCCAACACTGGAGTATGATCTCCAGATTCACTGATCTGATACTCTAGTAAAGTACTATAGTGAATGTCGCCATTCACAGTACTACCTACTCTCTTTTCGTTCTCTTCTTCATATGACCTTCTTCACGTCCATTCCTAGTCAATGCACATCTTAGATGGAAAATCTCCTGGCATCAAATACAAGTTCCCTTCAGGCGTTAACCGACTGATCCTATACTCCGGTCCAGCGAAGGAGACAGGTAAGATCAACCCTTCGATTACTTCCTGTACGCGACCCATCTAGTAACCCCGAGCTAGTTTTGTATGAGAGGGCGGCACAGTGGCATTCATGGGTTCCATACGGGTGAAACCCCTCCATCGGTTGGTTAACGCAGTTGCAATGTTCACGTCGGTGTTATTGAGGGGAAGATGAGGTCGGGAACCCATAGGGTATGCCATCAGCAGCTACCACAATGTGGTAGCATGTCTTTGTTTTGATCCCGCGCACCCTGGGATCTCCAGATGATTCGTCGGGCAAACTTTCAATCTATCTCTATCTCCGTCGGTCGGGATCCCTTTCGATCGACTCCGATGATGGAACTCTTCCAAACCCTCATAGAGCGACTCCAGATGCCAAGCATCCCTCCATATCGGACGGCGAAGCTCTGAGATCGGGGTAATCTTGACGAACGCGACAGCCCAACACCCGATTCGCATCTCTCGGGTCCCTCTAGTAAATCCCTTTCGAGGGTTTTCCCTTCGACCCGCGGGCCCGAAAAGGGGAGATCGAATTTACTACCGCGGACTTGGAGCAGATTGCGACGGTGTGGAAGGTACATCCCAAGGGTTTAAGAAGAAAACTGCTAGGGAATTGACCATGTCCGGGGTCCAAAGTGTCCGCCAGCGGACCGTTCTCGGAAATGGCCAACTGTGGTACTAGAGGTTGGAGTCTCCAGTCCTCCTGAGTTCGCATCAGTGTGGAGCGCACGGGCTCAATATACACAGCCAGTGCAGATGCCTCGTCCTGCTGGAACCCTCTCTCATCCTTACTACGCTCTTTCAAGTTGTCGGGCGGGCTCACTGCCACGGCCAGCTGGATTCAAGAAGGCGTGGACGTTGTTCCAGGAGCATTCCATCTCACGGTGAATCAAGTGCAACAGCCATTATCTCAAAGGAGGGACGAAAGATTACATCCTGATCGTCGGGCGAATAATCCCAATCCCCAGCCGCTATCTCTCATTCGTACAGACCTTCCTGAACATGGCTGGAAGTAACATTATGGGATCTTCATGATCACTGCTCAATGTATGTAATACAGAACTGCACCACGTGTGAGATCATGAGCTGTGCTGGGGGGAAGGTGTATGCTACGCTCAAAGGACTTCTGCATCTCATTGCTGCTCTCAATGTAAGTTTATCAAAGATAAAACCATATCTTGATATCCTGGGTGATCATCATCTGTGTGAACATGGATACTAATATTTGTGGTTTATAAGGGAGAGAAGACCACCACCAACAGCAACAACGATACCACCAAGCCTCTCAAAAAGAGGCGTCGTTCTTCGCAAAGTCAGAAGGAGAGGTCTCATTGGGGCAAACACGTATGGTTTGCGAAAGCCAAGTATAATGAAGGAAAGCGAGTGAGTGATCACTTCTAAACTCCAGCCTATCAGCAGCTTCGAAAAATGAGGAACTGCGTCTCTGATGAACTTGATCAGTACCTCATGGATCAACACGATCAACCTGCCCCATACAGAGGGTAGGCCGGCGTGATTACAGGAGCTCATGATTCTCAATTGCATAATCTAATGGGGGTAAGCAATATCAGGGCAATAGCTCTGAAGGTTGTCATCCTTGTCAAATGGACAAGGTTACAAAGAGCTCGCGTCTCCGGACTGGTGAGCTTCTCATCAGAGATAGGAATGGTATTGCCAGCACTGCAACAAATCGAGGTATGTTCAAGATATTCCATCAATGTTTCACATGCTTACTACCTGGCCTGGTGCAAACTATATTTCCCCGTCCTCCCACTACCAACAACCAACGCTTTCGGATCCGACGATGGGACCTTTTCGGACCATCGCTGTTACCAGGTCATAATGGGATTGAGTTCGGCAGCCCAGGTGACTCAATCACTGCCTGTCGACTAACTATCTATCTGGTGATGAGATGGCGGATGGCAAACGCGACCGCTGCTCCAGCCACGTCCGTGCCTGATGCCTGACGTGCTTGAAGGAGTTTGTAGGAGAACAGAGGAGGATGTCGAGGGCGGCACTGGGCCAGTGGCTTTTAGCGCCAAGTTGGATGGGTGAACCAGTGAATCACAGCTGTTGTATATTTTGATCTCAAATCAATTTATGCCTGACTTCCTCTTTCTTTACTCTTCAAAGCATCAACTCTTAGCCGTACTCCGTACCGGGTGATTGGTTGTATCAGGTGCCCAAGTAAATTCAATGCCTTCCGATTTCACCCGCCGTTGACCCATTTCTGCCTCAGGCTGCAACCCGCATTGACTCACCGGTCAAGCCTCAAATCCAGAGTTCAACCTTTCAGCTAGCTACAAGATGCGGTGAGTCACTGAGTGGCACCAGCAACGGCTGATCCTTGGAATCTTCCGAAATCAGGCAGTCGCCTCTCTCCGAAGAGATCAGGTCACGCCGCAACAAGTCAGCCAAGAATTATAGAGTACTGAGGTGATTACATTGTGATTGGCTATCCTGGGTGCGTCCAGTGCATCGCTGGATGCTGCTGACGGCTAACAAACATAGGGAACTTGCAAGAACTCTGGGTGAGTAAGTAGCACAAAGTTGTCACTTAGCATAGATAGATATGCATTCCTTGCCTTGCCAGGAAGATGGACCATTCCCAACCGCTGCTCCATCCAACAAAATAAAAGAAAAGCGAGGACAAAAAGATATAGAGAAAACCATGACAAGACCCTTCCCATCCCGCCACACTCCGTTCGTGTAATAAGACCGACAATAGATGCAGAGAAATGTAGGAATAAATGATAAAAAAGATGGACTAAGCGGTAGCTCACAGGGACAAGAACCCACCCCGGCATACATCGTACATCAGTAGATCTGCTGGTAACAGAGCCACTGTTAACAACAGGTCGAAAACGTAGAGTTCAACGCAGACAACCGTCTCAAACTCCCAGCAACAGCAGGGTATATACACATGACAACTCAGAAATCGTTTTCCACAAATGCAAAAAAAGAAAAACTGGAGATAAAGTTCGCTGTATCAAAGAACTTTTCCCACCAGTTGCCTGCGTTGTTCACCTCTGCGCCGTCGGAGAAGCCTGAAAAGAACGTCACTCGATCGACGAGATCATATATGAAATAAAAGAGAGAGATGATGGACTAAGCCACACGCTAAAAAGCCACTTTTCCTTTCTACAGAAAAGAAAAAGACAAAAGAGAAAAGAGCCTGGCAGCTGAATGTTTCATCGACAAAGCTAGCCCAAGTACTCCGATCGCACACTCGGGTTCAGCGCAATCTTCCTAGCTTCGCTGCCACAGCAAGCACGCTTCATGCCAGCTGGTCCAGACAAAGGAGCGCTAACAGCCAGGAGACTGAGTTGAGCAGCGGAAAGAGACTGAGGATATTTGGGATCAGAAGGAGTATCGCCCATGGAACGATCCGAAGCCTTGCCCTCATTCCGCGCATTGAGGTTCATCAGGTGGCGGACATGGTTCTGCCACAGAATATCCTCGGAGCCTGTGCGGCCACGTTTCCGGCATTGCCGCTGAGCAGTCGTTCCTTGCTCGAACGTCTGTGCAGAGCGGGAAATACCCCCGACAGTTCACAAAGGCTTTGAGCTGCCTCATGATCGACAGGAGTGCCCAGCGAGATATTGGATAGATCTGGGACCTGGCCAACTGCGCCCAAGTAGGTCTCAGGCGAGCTGTAGATCTCACCAAGCGGGCCCTCATCGATAGGAGACGCGATGGCCAAAGCCTTCCGACCTTCCTTGAGTGAGTTGCTGGTGCATCGGAGCGTTGCCTTCACGGCCAAGCGAGGCTTGGCAGAAGCGCTAGTGCCCAGGATGGAGACAGGGGCCGACCCGGAAGAGCAAGATGACAAACTCGACGACGACAGCGTCGAGACATCGGAAATCATCGATTCAGGAGATGACGCCGAAGACGTCGATCGAGCCAGAGACGATCTGCGTACCACGGTCGGGTATCCATCGAACGTGTTAGCCTTTTGGCAAAACGCCAGCGACGGGCGCTGATCGAGAGTCGACCGCGCCATGCACACATTTTGCACTTGTGACATAGCAGCGCAGATGGAAGCCCGGCGGGCACAGAAGGCGCTAGCACTCGCAGCAGGAGTGGTAGCAATGACCGTCTGAGGCGTCAACTGAGGCGTTGGCAGCATAGGTGGTCGTGGCATGGACGGAAGAGACGATGCTCCAGCAGACATGGGCGAGTACCGCTGATACGCCGATCCCTGATTGTAGATGGATGACGCGCTGGGGTGCTCGCCCGTCGATGGGGAACGAGGAGAAGGTGAGTCCGATACAAGGCCCGATTCAAATCCAACCATACTAGAGGATGTGGAAGGCTCAACATCCACTGTGTCCAGTTCAGGAGTGAGCTTGGGGATGACCGTTCGCCAGCACTGGCCTTCTCCAGTAAAAGGCCCACCAGCTCCCGGGGTGTACTTCAGGACGATGTCCGTCCAACGCTGAAAGGTGGCTTCGGTAACGTGTAGTCTCCAACCAATCGCTTCAAGAAACATCAACTCGTTCTGGTTGATTTCCGCGGTATTCAAGCCGGAGATCTTGCTCCAAGCACGGGCAGAGTAGTTGCGGTCCTGAAGGTACTTTGATGCAAGGATCAAAGCGGCAAGGAACATGCGACGGCCACATTGCATGGCACGGCAGACCGGTTTACTCCGGGGTGGTTGTTCCTGTTCCGCATCGTAGCGAGGCACGTGCTCCTTGATCTTGATCAAATAATACAGGGCAACCTGCAGAGTGCTGTAGCTGGTGCGCGACCGACGTAGAGTCTCCTGAATGAAAGTACGAAGGGGTAAAACACCTTTGCAGCCTGTGGCAGAGTCGCTGCGAGATGCCACTGCTGACAAGGGCCAGATTATCTCCACAATCTGCGAGGCGGTGTCTTCGTAGGGCAAGAGCATTTAGCTTTAGAAAAGATGGAAATCAAGAGGAAACATTCACTCACCGACGAGATTGTCAACGAAGTTGACTTTCCGATCCGACTGTCGCAAGAGGCATGGCGGAGGTCGGGCACAACTGACGCCGCTGGACTGAGCCATGCAGCTGTTGGTGCGCCGAGGATGCCTCCGCAACTCGGGCGCGACCGCCGCATCGGTAGCTTTGGGCAACACACCCCTCACACCGCCACGCAAGCTAGTCGCCGAAGTCAAGGTCCTTCCAGCCACCTGGTATTCGCCTTCATTTTCCCAGATTACATCCACCGGGTTCGTAGAAGTCGACGAGATGGAACTCTGGTTGGATACACAATCCAGGGAAAAGACGGAAGAAGATGAGGAAGATGCCGAGGAGGAGATCGAGGAAGCATAAGGATGCGCATAGGGCGCTTTGTACTGAATGCTCGGGTTTGAGTCCCTCAAACCCAAGACGTCCATCCCTGTCATATTCGGGATAGTCAAAACCGTACAACCTACCCACCACTGTCCGAAATCAGAAGTAGTTTCGGTTGGTTATACAATCCTCCGAACCGAATATTATAGGTAAGAGATGGGCGATTTTGAACCGTGATATTGTCAAAAAACCGTTGCGCAAATAACCGTTAACGAGGTACCAGTGAGACAGATACCGTCTTTTTGTTCACAGGCGACGGCGTGCCTTAGTTATGAGAGATCACCAGCTTGTCAAAGAAAGGTGGCGACGAGGGAGGAGAGGAGGTTAGGAAGCCAAAGTAGGTATGGACGTCGAAAATATTAGGAATCGAAAGAGGTCAAAGGTGTAACTGTATCGGGAAGGATGGAGGGTGTTCAACGTCCACGAGTCCGATCACCGTTCGTAGAGTCCGTAGTAGATCAAAAAGCCGAGATCACGTTTGAGAAGAATGCGTAGGTCGGGGTATACCGACATAAGCTTATTTCAAAAGTGATAGATACTGTATAGGTCTGTTGTTTAAACAAACATGGCAGTCTTGTCGGAGGCTTGAAGATCTGGGGCTGAGGAGTCTGCAAAGCTGGTGATCGGAACAGAAGAGATCGAGTAGACAGGGTACATCTTGATCATCAAAGGGATATGAAAGAGGTTATATGAAGGTGCCGATAGAACGGCGGACTGACCAACAAGCAGGCAGTACCAGTGGAGGACTGATGCTTGTCTAGGCAGTCAGCTGTTTATCGGGTGGCTAAAAAGGACGGAGGGTTCGGCGGGATGAGTCGTGAGGCTCGACTAGGCTGAGGCGACAAAAGAACAGTCAGCAACCCGATCGTAGGTCAGGAGAGGATCTCTTTATTTCTGAATCAAAATGGTGCGATCCCGAAGTATGACTCTTTCCTCCCAAGAAGTAAAAACCCAGCAGGCGGGAACCGAGGGAACGCTGCCTGATGACTACCTATTCTTGTGGAGGGCGGAGCAAATACTAAGAGTAGGCAGGGCAGTGACTAACTAACCTGGGGGGCGGCCAGTCCAAGGGGAAAAGATGGATCGGGGAAAGAGAGGGAAATGCGGCGACTTCCAGTACACGTTTTTAGAAGGGCCCGTGGAACAAGGAAAGGAGGTATTGGAAGGAAGATGGGAAAAATAATGTTGAACGGCGAAAAGGAATCAGAAGATTTTGGTTACTCACCTCCGTCTGTACCTGTGGCAAGACACTCAGGTGGCGGAATTTCGGGGGAGGAGGGAGTCAAAGAACGGATGCAGGGACCACGCCTTTTTTTCGCCAACGAAGGCGAAAAACGAGAAATGAGCGGAGAGTAAGTAGATAGTACTGATACAGGGCAATAAAAAGATGAAGTAACAGAAGAATATATCAAAAGGAGCAGAACAGCAGAACTCTTAACATAAGGAGGAAGGGACGTCTTACTTCCTCTTGCGAAGAGTAGTCAGTAGTAGTAGTAGTAGGAGCAGATAGACAGAAAGCGGGCGACTAGACAGTTGTTAAGGTAATCAGGGCGCGATCGGGACTGGGCGACGGATGCGGGTGTATGTATGACTCCTCAGCCAGCTTCCGAGATAGGGGATGCTCTGTGGTATCCGGTCCACCGTTACGGAGAAGGAGATACTCGACAACTCTACTGTCAGATATTCTACTGTGCTCAGGTATCTTTTGATATATCTTAATGAAGTTGATAATTTAATGTTCCGTACTCTGGAATAGGTGAATACTCTAGGATTCTACCTAAGATACGGCTAGTTCCTTCACAAGGCCCTCAAAGTTCACTCGGCGCTTCTACAATGTAGCGTCCGGCCTGTATACCTCTCTAAAATCATATAACCTCTCTAGAATCATATAAATAGATAAAGATTGTTCATTTTCAACACCTTGATCGCTTGAAATCATATTATTTTCTATCAGAGACTAGCAGCGATAGATGATCATCTAGATACTTACTCTGTAGGGGTATATCTGGGCCGTACAGTGGATCTATAATGAACTATCCTTATGATCATTATAATGAACATTATTATGAACTTACGATTTCAAGTACCGCTAGTCTATGGAGTCGTTTGCTGGCAAGAGTGTCGTCAGGATATCACGAATTCGCGATATCGGCTAGGTGAATGACAGGATTCGAGTAAGTTCCTCCACGTTTCTAACCATGCATGAAGGTGAAATGAATCATCACTATAGGCCACCATGGGATAAACCTCGCTGCTAACTAAACCCGGTGTGCCACAAACTGCATGACTGGCTCCTCTGACGGGCTCCTCTGACGGGCTGGCGAGTACGGACTCAGTGTGAGGGTAATAAGATTTCCTATCCGGTTTGATTCCGCCGCTCCTTCAACAACGGGTCCAGAGTTGTTGGTGGTCAGCCAACCAACCACCCGAGCTGTATTTGCTCCCAGCCCACGCCACCCTTCGCTCAGAATCTGGTGCTCCCAACGGCAGTGACACATCCTGCACAGGTCCATGGTTTGTCTCTCGGGGAAAAATAACGAGGCAGAAGGCAAGAGATGATACTTTTTTGTCTGCCCTCGTCTTGAGCCACGATGATCATGAGCGCTCCTGCCTCCCTATTCGTACACATGGAATATTGACTGCTTGTTGGATTTGATAGACAACCATAGTAATATGGAGCAGAGGTAACATGACAACTGTACTTGTGGAACCATCATGGATAGATACTCTAGGCAGCAGAAAACCACCACTGGTGCACAAGAATCCTCCTCTCCACCATCATGAGTAACGAATATTATGACCTTGTCGGCGCTTAAGGATCGATCACCTGAGCTGACAACCACAATATTATCTGTTTCAAAATAGGCAGCTCACCTCTGCCTGTTGTTCTTCATTCTATCCTCGATTACTCGACTATCGCAAAGTGAGCAACAAAAAGTGGATAAGTCACGGGGGGTACATGAGTAGTGCAGGAGGCTGTTGTACCACAACAACTGACACATCAGATTAAAATTAATTAATGACGGATATCTGGCTAAAGATTCACCACCCAATCATGCAGATCCAAAACAAGAGTAATATAGATACTGTACCCATCAGACTATTCCTTCGCGCGATCCTCCAGTCTCAGATCCAGATTAATACTTAGACTACCCCATGCTGTCGCAAGGCTGAGCATAATAGTGATAGAGATTCAATAGATTCAATAATAATAGCATCTTCTTGATCCTCAGCCCACCACGCAAATCTCAAAATAGTCTTGGAAGTCAAGCGCTGTGCCTCAATCCGCTGCGTCATGACTCATACCGTCATCGTCGTCTTCGCCACCATCTCCCACATCTCCCACACCCTAGTCCAACTACGGCTTAGCGTCGCCCCGAAAACAGAGCCATCGGAGAGGGGCTGGAAGCCTGAGGCAGCATCCAATCCTGCATGGAGCATTTTCTGGAGACGAATTCATTTTGCCTCGATTGGTCGGTGGAGAACGGGCGTACCTGCCAGGAGCGGTTAGACTGCGTTTCTGGGTTCCTCTTCAGTGTAGACTGCGAGACTGCGAGAGATTCACGTCAATGGCCTGGACGAAACAATGAGTATGGAGATGACTCTGGGGTAACGAGTGCGGATCTTACTACTAGGTTCGAATAATAAGACAGCTAAAGCTACTCTCTAGATGTATCACAAACAGGTAGATAAACAACAGAAGGGAGAAAGCTTAATAAATCCCCTCAACATTCACATGGTCCAGACAAAGTCACCGATACAAATGGAATATATATTCGCAGTCAAGTGCATCCCAGCTATCTCTGTGCCAGGACAATAAAGTCCCGAAACGAGAACTCCAAAAGCCTGTATCTGTCCAGTAGCCGACAGGAAACCTAAACTCACGGCCGGATCTCGCGCAATCAGATGGCCCAGATTTGTTCGAGTGGAAGGAGGTACAGTAGGTACAGCACCGATTGGGAATCATGCATAGAGATGCATGCACGTGTATGTACTTGTTGATTGCTACTCCGGATGAGAACCTAGAATGAAAGGGCGGTACTTTGGACACACAGCTTCATTGGGCCAACTGTCATGCAGCTTGACACCTCTTGTTCGACCAAAATGCTTCAGGCCAACAAATAAAGTTGGAGCAAGGAGTCCGCATCTATTGAGTTTGATCACCGTCAACCTACGCGTACATAGAAGGTATACGGGAGTCATATTTCTATCGTCCACTATGCAACATGCTAGCAAAACCATAAACGTTCATATGCTGTATGAAGATTATTACTTGATTATGATCTAGCGCATACCAGAGCGCCAATGATTTCTTTCAAGCTCTCGACCAGGAGGGTAATTTCTTCCTCTGGTGTCCTGGTCAGCAAATCCGCACAGATTTTCAAGTGCACACTCACCAGTGTTGTAATGCAGCATGCTGATGCGTACTACACCATCCTCTACATCCTCCAAACCCACGATATCGTTCAACAGCCGGTGGCTGTACATATGGCCATTGCGAAAACAAAACCGCGTCCGGCGCTCGACTTCTTCGACAACCTTTTGGCTCTTGATGCCTTGCACTGTGAAGCTGATTACCGGAACGCGAAGATCCTTGCTTGCTGATGGTTCGCCACAGATCGTAATTTGATCCTCGCTTCTGAGGTAGTCCAGCAGTATTGCCTGCAGTTTCTCTTCATGAGAAGCGATCTTATCCCATGTACCTGCGGGATTGGGCCCAAGATATTCAAGCGCCGCAGGAATACTCTGTGTCGCTTCGTAGCTGGCGGATGCTAGATTGAGCTTCAGGTCCAGCGTGTCTGTGCCTTTGAAGAAATGGCCAACGCTGTCGATCTGGTCATGTATCCGGGATGAGGCATATAGTTGAGCAATGTGCGGCCCGTAGACTTTGTACCATGAGAACGCCTGATCGGAAGATCTGAGCACTCTTCTGCTGAAGCTATCTTCACCAACTTACATAGATATCGACATCAAGTTCCTTCACATCTACCTGTCGATGCGGTGCAAGCGCAACCCCATCCACGCAGAGGAGAGCCTAACGAAAGAAGCATATCAGCATATGGCAAGAAAAAGCCACCAAAAAAACTCACCCGTGGATACTGATGAACGAGCTTCGCAATCTCCTTGACGTTCGTGATTGTTCCCGTAATGTTGGAAGCATGTGGGCATGCAACCAGCCTCGTCTTCTCCGACAGCAATTGGCCCAGCTCATCCAGGTCACAAACAGGGTTTCTAGGATCCGATGCCGACCACCACTTCACCTGCAAGCCCAGTCGTCCCGCGATCCGAACCCAGGGGGCTGTATTGGCTTCGTGGTTCAGCTTCGAGAGCACCAGCTCATCGCCGGGTTCGAACTTGAGCGCCGTCGAAAGGTTGTGTAAGAGCTGAGTCGTTGATATACCCAGGCAGATCTGAAGTAATGGGATCAGAGCAAGCCGGTGCTACCAGGGTCAAAGAACACACCTCATCAGGACTCGCATTGATAAACACTGCCGCCGCCTCGTAGCCCTTAGAGAATGCAGTGGTGGCTGCCCGAGATATGCCATACGTCGCTCCCAATTGAACATTGGTGGTAGAGAGGTAAGATGTAATCCTTCCCTGGCATCAGACCGGGTCCAAGCGAAATTCCAGATGACTCACGATTCGATCACAGTGTCCAAAACCTGACTGCCTCCTGTCAACGGCATCCTGGTCAGTGACTCGCTCGCGATGCAGTGCTCACAAGAGAAGGTCGAGGCCAAACAAACCTGCATTATCGAGGAACACCTGCTCTGCATTCAGAGCGGGAAAACGAGTCCTAACCTGTGCAATATCAAATTCTGAAGCCATCTCTGCTAATATCTGAAGGCAATCGATAGACAAAACTGGATACAAGCAGAATCAGATCCATTCACCATTGATAAGCTGGTGAAACCCCATCACGATAGCTTGTCTGCGAGAGGGGTAACACCCCGCTGCATAACCGATGGCACCAAATCACCAAAGCGTAATCAAATTCATAGCGCGGTACTTCCGTAGCACTTAGTGCAACATCCTCAACGTTCGGAAAAATGATCCAAATATGCAAGTAAAATGCATTGCTTCCAACGGGGTATAGTTATGCAACAACACAAGAGCCCAGGAACCACTCGCAGCGAACCAACAAACAGCAAGAAACACCGGCAATGAAATTAAAATAGACCCTGCAAGACAAGACCAAAGAATCAAAGCCGTGAACGCCAAATCCACTGCTAGCAAACCATCACCTAGAACGCACCCCCGCAGCCCCCGAACCCCGGACGCATGCGCAGCATCGTGCACCACACAGAGGAGATACTTCCTATCCGGCACGACCACAATCTCATGCTTCTTAGTCCTCAGCCGGAGCAGCTTAACCTCATCGTCCTCCTCCCTGTCCACACCCTCCGTCCTAGCATCGTCTCTCCCCGCACCATCTCCGTTCAACCCAGTCTGATAGCTATCCCTATCCTCCGCGCGCGGACACGACAGCGTCATCCCCAGCTCAGACGCACTCGACACGAAAGCAAAGATCCGCGCCGCGAGAGCTTCCGCCTGAGACGGCTGGTATGGTTTCTGGGCGGTGGGGGCTGGTACTGCGCTTGCGCCAGCGGGTGAAGTAGGATCCAATGACTCCGTAGGAGGGGTAGTAGTACTGTTTGCGTCGTCCGTTGCTGGCGGTGTCTGTGTCGCGCTCGTCGTGCTATTTCTCGGCGGTGCTGCGGCAACGATTCCGGTGCTTTGGATTATGGTTCCATCTTTGCGGGAAAGGATGAAGGTGGATTGTACGCCGGGGCGTGATGTAAGATGGGAAAGTAGGGCTGTGACATGTTGTGGGATTTGGGTGGTCTAGGCAATCGTTAATCAGTTTTAGAACGTTGAGTTTGTGGCTTGATCAAAGACAGGGAGTATCCTACCGCTGTTGCGTGTGCCATTTTCGAATAAATGACGAGGGGAGAGGAATGAATCGGGTTTGTTTGGGGTGAGGGGGAAAAGGAAAGGCGATGGTGGTTGCGTTGGATCCCTGCGGTTTCTTGCTTCCACCTGACCTTAATAACAACTTGCCCAGCTCAGAGGTCGTCAACTGATTAAGGACTGCCAATGCGTGTTTGTTGTTGAGACTTGAAGCTACTCGACTCGCAGTCCGGTCAACAACATCGGCATCAAAATACGACTCGGATGACTAAGCAGGATTGGGGCAGAACAATCTAACGTTTCTACATTCTATATGCCCCAAGGGGCTTATCTGGTGCTCGATTGTCATTAAGACAGATTGATTAATATTACGATTGCGAACTGCCCAAGGAAATATCCAAGCCATATTCATTTCTGGGAATTTAATGGCAATTGAAAGCAAAGTGACTTATGGACGTGTCAAGACAAAACAGAATGGTATCACTGCGGTGCAATAGTAACAATCAAGGAGAAAGTGGCAAGGCAAGTAAGAATTCAAAAGGCAGTCTAGGGGAGTCTGGAGCGAACGCAATTTCCGGACTGCATATCAAGTTAGTTGAGCCGATGCAACTGAGTTGAACCACCAAGTAACAAAGGAAACGCATGCAAGCGACTGTGCAACTAAAAGGAAACCTCCCCGGGCAGACGAAAAAAACAAAAAACTAAATGAAATGCTTAAATGCGACCATTCGGCACCCTATCGGAACCTGGCTTGTCCGATAAGCAAGTGAATTCAAGGTCTTCGATCATGTCCTCAAGGTCTCGGACACTGACACTGTCATCACTTTGATAATCGCTCCGCAGACTGGAGCCAGGGCTGTCAATCCAGCTTTCCGGGCGACGAAGGGATTTCTTCATGCGTGATCGTCTTCCATTTGCTACTGCGCGACCACGCAGTTTGGAAGATCGATCCGTCGAGGATGGAGAAGACCTTTCCGCACTTGAAGAATTTGCAGAGGCGGACAGCGATGTCGTTGACCCCCCAAGCAGATTGGGCTTGACACCCACATCCAAAGCTGCGAAAAGGGCCGCCTGAAGGATCCGGTTCTGGCGCTCCAGCTGTTCAATGCGCCCTTCAAGAGAATCGAGAGCGTGTGCAGCTTTGTCACGCCTATCGCGAGGGTCGTGAGAATGGTACGGACTCGATGAGTCTAGCGATGATGAAGACGTCTCCTCCGAAATGCGGCTTCTTTGCCTTCGCGGCGTCAAGGGCCCGGCATGATCTGACATTCCGGACTTCCTCGGACCACGCTGTCGGCTCAGACAAAGATTGCCCGACTTTCTTGAGGCTTCCTTCGTTCGCTGATATCGGCTGGAGTCTTGACGTAGCTCATACATGAATGTACCCTTATCCATGCACTCATCATCCGAAGAAGGGAGCGGAGACCCGGCTCGGTTCGAAGTGTTCTGTTCCCTACCCACCAATTCGTGAAGGACATCAATGCTCCGCATCCTCTTACTTCGGTGCAACGTAGTGCTTCGGTCGGAAGCGGGAAGAGATGGCTCTGGCTCTCTCCTCTCTGCCGATGCTCTCATGATATCTGTGGCCGAGCTGCCATGCCGCCTGCTGAACGGCAGTTGTTCAGCAGACTTCACACGTGGTGGAGCGGGAGGCGGGGAAAGAGGAGGCGACAAAGGAGCGGATGGAGTCGCTTCCTTTCGGACTGATGTGCTTACTCGAGGTCCGTTTTCGTCGCCAGTTCGCAATTCATGGCCGGACCCGGAGCTCATTGGAGATGCTGGCGAATTGATTCCATCGCCCTTTCTCGCCTCACGAGGAGTTTCTGGCCCGTCGAGGCTGATATGACTTGCCATCATGTCTCTGAACTTGAGTGAACGCACCCTCTCCGCCCCATTTTTTTCCACTTTCCCAGAAGATTCCGGATGATTCGTCGGTGTCTCCTCGACAGACTTAGCCTGCTCGCTGGCGGGCGAGTCTTCCCCAACCAAGCTCAACTGAGGGAGCGCAGATTGTGTATTCGAGCGACAGTGTTCGGCGTCTAAGCGGTTCTCAGATGTGGTGGCCGGAAAGGCGTCCGAGTGGTTGCGATTCGTCCGAGTTGCTGCTTTGCTGACCGGGGTGCTATGGTGGCGAACAGTGTTGAGAGCAGGAGGCCGTTCGGGCAGTGATGGTAGAGGTCTCATGGGAGCTGGCAGAGGGAATGAGTCTATGGTACCCGTTGGTAACGATGCAGGGCGACGTGTATTCTTCAACTGTGGAAGTTCTGGATGTATTGGACTCATCGCCGGTTCGCTGCAGGGATTCCCCGGCCGCGTTGTCGACGCCTTGCCTGAGTGGTATGATCTTTGAGGCTCGCCCTGACATTCCAAAGAACCTTTGGCCGAGTTTCTGACGTTGTCTGTCTTTCTTTTCGAAGCGACAGGTGCAGGAATCTGCTGTCTGTCGGAGGATTTGGTAGAGATTGGCGCCTCTTTGCCTGCTATTCGATTGTTGGGGATGCGCCAAGCTCCCTTGCTTGAAACACGAGGAGGCATTGTGTCAGGGAAGAGCTTCAACGACTGAGCGACCGGATTTGGCGGATCTCTAGGACCAGCTTTTGCTCTTGACGCCGGGGGTCTCAGTAATTGTGCAGAGTTGTTCTGATCTTCAGCAGAATCCAGAGCCTACAAATGCATTTGTCAGCATCTACCATGAGAGCTTCTATATGCATATAAGTCTGCTCAATGCACTTACCTGAGATTTGCCATCTTTTGGGTCATCACACGCTACACCATTTCCCGGAATTACGGTGGGAGGTATATGACCTTTCCCGTTCGTGGGAACCTGTCTAGAGTTCACTGCTGATGGAGCACCTTGGTCTTCCATACGCCGTTCCTTGGGCTTAAGCTGACAAGCTGCACTGTGGAGGTGACGAGAATCCTGACCTTCGATCCGCTGGTCGCTGGTGGTGTCCGCCGGCGGCTGGTATGGCGGTGGGTAAGCGTCATCAAAGTGAAATGGAAAAGACACTGCCGCCTCAACCATGGACGTTAGATTGCCGAGATCTAGTGGCGACGGCTCGGGGCTTTTGATGTGTTGCGTAACGGACACTTCGAGCGGATTTTCAAGCCATGGCTGGCCAATCTTTTCAACGTCTCGCTGAGAGCTGGATCGGAAGCTAAAGTTTGACGCGGATCTCGGGCCCGATATCGCCGAGTCAAGGCTTTTTTTTGCAGCTGAAGCTGGCAAACTGAGAAACCCCTCTTGCTGGAGGACGAGGAGATGACGGGACGTCTCTTCGGCTTTGATCTTGGGGTCCATTGGTTTCCATTGGAGCTGCGCCAGCTGCCGAAGCCGTCGCTGGCCGGCCTTTAGGAGTTCGCGCGCTCCCGTAACTTGCGAAGTGGGAGTTGTCGAAGGTGATTGAAGGAAGCGATCAAGCTCAGTGATATCCTCGTTCGTCATCTGTACCTCTGGACCTTGTCGCGGTCGATTGTTTTCAGCAGCAGTCAAATATTGTGTTTGGGATGGAAGAGTTGACATGTTGTGGGGTTTGTCCCTTGATAAGGACGAGCTGTGCCGACACGTTGGGACGACTGGACTAGGCGCGACTGTGCCTTCATGCGGTTCGGTCCACTGATGCATAGGGACGCTTGCCGGATCTCAATGGTCCAGTTGGGTTCAAAAATCGACTGGGATAAGCAGAAAGAGGTCAACATGAATAGCGGTGAAAAGCTTCGCGAAACTGTCGTACAAGGATATATTCACCCAAGCGGTGTTGAGACTTAGTCCTAGCCCTAGACGCGTTCGTAATTTTCTCTCAGTTTTCAATGCTTGCTTGGTGTATTCAGTGGCCGATGAAGGCATGAAAGCGAAGATGCGAGCCGCACTTGGGTCTGATATGGGTAGGTAACATTGACAAAATGACGTATGCAAAAATTCAGTGCCAGATTGTCTGCGGCAAAGTAGCCGATACGAGAATTAATGGACAAAAGCAAGATTGACCCAAGGGGGAGGGATATCTGCGAGAGGATATCTCGCGTTTAAGAGGTCCAGTTGAGATTCGAGCTGTTATACTCTTACCTCGCCGGGTATCTTTCCCAGGGTGTGACTGACCGACGGCTGCAGGGCCGGGTCATTGCCCAATGGCTCGTTCTTGATAGCTCGAGAGATAGGTTTGAATCTAGGCGACCCATATTGGCAACAACCCAGGATGTTCATGCCCAAGAGAGGGGGAGGGTCTTGAAAATGGCAACAACTAGCAAGGATAGCTACATAGTCTGCTAGTGGAACCCTATAATGCGGTGATGGACGGAATGGGAAAGGGCACGGAGAAAGGATGTGAAGCAATCAAGCAAGAAAGGGAAAAAGAACACAAAGAAGGAAGAAGTACTGACAGGGGATCTTCCCTTGCGAGCGTCACCGTCCGTGCTGGGTCCAGGACGATGAGCAATTGATTTCTCTATTTGGCGCCTCAATGACAGGTCGTCGTCGGTAATCGAGACGTTCTCTTTTCGTTGGTCAGACTATTTGCTTCGGGAGTGACTGCTGTAATGATAGTTGCAGTTCGCAGCTTTTACTCGACCAAGGAGAATGACAGTTGTGGATCTTCTCACGTCCGATCGAGCCTATTTTCTTCCTTGACTGGCAATATTCAGGCATATTGATCAATCGAGAGTTAGCTGTGGCTAATCAGCAGCCACGGCAGGACAAAGGAAAAGGACTTCTGCTAGTCTCCGCACTCCAAGGGACACAAGCACAGTAGCAATCAGCAAATCAGTGTCTTCCCCTTTCTCGGATCTTGAGCCCATTTGCCCTTCATTTGTAGTCTAAGCGCTCTCCTCCGGAGGGGAGTAAAAAAGCAATAAGAGAGGAAACCGGCCGATCGATTTCCTCTAGGAGCCGTTGCACGCAAGGGGAGTATTCATCGCAAGAGATAACTCTGCCATTCGAACTCTCCTGGTTCCTGGAAGGGTGACAAGTGGGATGGATCATCGATCCCTACAAACGCAGGTCTATCGATCCATGACATCGGAATGTGATGTATCGTCCCTATGGGTCGTACTCGGGATGAAAGGGCGATGTAGAGAAATGGGAATTCGACTGACTCGCAGGAAATCACGCCGTCGAAATGACGGTTAAAGCAGTGATAGGGCCAGTAAAGTGGATCATCGGTTTAAGATCAGATGCAACAGATAACTTACTCTAGATAGTCTATGACGGGATAGAGAGATCAAAGAGATGTTGACGTGGAAGAGTTGGAGTCTGCGGGAGCTTTACCACAGGTGACCGATCACAACTTAGCCACAAGGGATTCTGGAGGGATCAAGACAAAGATACAAACTTTGAGGAATATTGACTCGGCAGATCAGGGAATAAAGAATCTACACAGATGATCACCATACCATCTCCTTTATGATCGCCCCCAGGATAAAGACAGACCTAAAAAATATCAATGCTGCCAGGCTTCATCGACGAACTATGAGGACTGTGCTACCAGAACTACCTATAACCAGAACCAGAAAGAAAACATTCTCAAAAATGAGATACATGGCCTCTCGTCCGCTTGGCCAAAATACCATATCAGACTCAATTTACCCTGAATAGATGGACGCGGGAAAAGGTAAGCCGAGAATCGAATTTGGGTTCTGTCATCGACAAATCAACGAATCCATCGAATCTTGCATCTATTCACCCATCGACGGAAGAAAGCAATAATGTTACCTACGTACCAAGTTACTATATTCCGCCCCTTGCAGATCAAGACACTGTATGTCAATAAATAAAATAGAGAATACCACATATCTAGACCTCATCAGGAACTGCCAGATGAGCCAGCCATACTCCACTATCCACTCGATCGCTACATGGCCTCGACTACAAGGCTCAAATAATCTTCGATCGAGGTCATTCTATTATCAATCCCGATAAAGTGAACTGTAGATGTGGAAGCTTAGATTTTTTTGAATGAGTTAATGAACTCATTGACTACATCATGCTCAGCTGTCTTTCTGAGGCCTGTTCCCAGTCACCCTGTACCTACATACCTACCTGCGAGCTCATGTACAGAGTATGCATTACATCACGCATTACTCTCATGTACGGATTAGCTCAATCACAATTTCTATCCTGACTACTTATACCATATGTATTTGGCACATCTCAACTATGTTCAGGGTAAGACTCTACTCTTCCTGATCCAGGCTGCATGCGGTCACCCAGAATCAGTGTTCTGTGTCACTCGTTTGTTGATGCATGAATATCGACTGGCGGGCTTACTGTAGTAATGCTATTTTATCTGCTAAAGGCTCAAGTAAAGCGACAGGGCAGAGTATGCATGTTGATAACTGCACTGTACGTAATTGTGAATCCTGATCATAGCTGATGAACACCCAATAAGATCTTCACAGCATCGATTACAGAAGGTTACCATATAAGAATCATCTACTCTGTATTATGGGCAAAAGATAGTCATCGCCAAGTCATCAAAATTTCAGCCTACCGCCTATATCCACGGGTATATAGACAACATGAAGATATTTCAAGCTTTGCCCCTGACAGTGGACATGCAGTGCAGAAGAAGCAAGGAAGAGACGAGAAAAGGATAAATGCCAGCAGTGCTCCGTTTCAATGCATCCCATCACCATCACAAAAATCGGAAATTCTCGAACTGAGGCATCACGATTCGTAAATCGCCGCCGTATGGTCACAATGTATGTAAGTTTCAAAGGTAATAGCCGCCATGAAGGACGAATTGAAATGATCATGCAAAACAAAAAGAAATGCCAATAATGCGCAGCCGCTCGGATGTATGCAAGGTGAAAATCCCACGTATCATACAGTAGGTGTCAAGGAAGGAAGCATGTCTGTCCCACAAATCTTCAAGGATGCTATTTCTTTTTTGAGAATAAAATGCGTATGGATGCGGTCTATGCGTTGTGTGGGGGAAATTTATGCAGAAGATGATGCGCCTGCTACCTTCTCTTTGGTCTAATGAATGGATCGACCTCTTTCTTTTTGCGCATCGGAGGAGGTGGTCTGACTCCATTGCCGGGTCTTTGCGGAGGACGAGGAGGGAGCTGTAGATACTGGTTAGTCCTTCATCCCTTCATGGCACAGTAGGTATTACATACATTTGCTGACCCAGAACCTGACGATGGGCCGTCTGAGGACTTGTTATTGTCCAGAGGAGCGAATGCTGGCCCGTCCCGTGACGGTTTGACCAAGCCCTGCGATATGTCTTAGTTGTGTCTCAATGGGTTGATCAAGTTGTACTAATCCAAACTTACAGCGGCGCTGGTAGGCACATTGGCATCAATCTTGCGTCGCGGGCCTTTGGATGGATTGGGAACTGAGTCCGAGCTTCGAGGTTTAGAAACCTTAGAAGTATCGGGCGATTCTGAACCCGTACGCTTGCGCTTGCCAGGTGCATTGCTCAGGTCGGGCCTACGTTTCTCAGGCTTCTTATCCCCGCGCGGCGGCGGATCGGAAGAGACCTGTAGAACCGGTACTTTGGGATCATGTCCTCCAAGCTGTTTCTGGCGCTGACGCTCGGTCCTTTGTTTCTTCATCTGAGCATGTTGATGCTCCTCTCGTGCGATACGAATTTTCTCTTTCTTTGGCAGCTCCCTCGCAGATTGACAGCTCTGTGCATCATGTCCGAACTCACCACATTGCAGACAGCGTTCTGCCGTACAAACCATGCGTGTATGTCCTGAGCGCCCACATCTGTAGCAGGTGCCACGCGACGCCTCCTTCGCATCGATGTTGTCACAATTGTGCGTCATATGAGCAAAGCTGCCACAGTAACCGCATGTGCGGGTATCATCCAAACCGTTGGGACCGCCTGACGGCAGGTCTGGCGGAGGTTCTATGGGAGTGCCCCTCCTAGAGACTGATGCAGAGATGGAGGACTCTGAAGTTGGCCGCTCAAGGGAGGCTGAGGTCGGTCTGGAGAAGGGTTCGGAACCAGCAGCCTTGAGTGAGACTGTAGGATTTGGAGACTCGGCGTCCATCATATCGATGTCCTTGTAGCCCGTAAACTGTGGCCGCTGAAGAATGTCCAGAATGTCACCGTCGGTATATACATTTCTTCGACGCGCATCCTTAATCAACCCATTCCAGAATTGGCCTTGCACCAAAGACTGCGAATTACCAAGAACCCAAAGGGATGATTTGGCACGCGTCAGACCGACATTCATACGGCGAATGTCCGCCAAGAAACCAATTCCTTTGTTGGATGCTCTAACACAAGAGAAGATGATGACTTCACTCTCCCGACCTTGGAAGGCGTCCGTTGTATTAAAGTCGACCATGTTGAAGATGGCGTTTCCGTACCTTGCGGCAAACTGTGTCTTCAACTCCCTCAACTGACCCTTGTACGGGGTAATGATACCTATTTTCCCACTGAAGTCATAATCGCGGAAATCTGTGATCAGTCGTTCGTAGAGTTGCATAGCCACCCGCAACTCCGCCAAATTGATCAGAGAGTGACCCTTCGTTGTATTTTGATGGAGCCCCTGCACATCGAAGAAACGATATGGGCCAAGAAGCTCGCTCTGATGCCATGGACGAGCACGGAGTTTGGCCATGTTCGGCCCGTCCTTTAGCTTCCCGTCATAGAACGCAGCGCTGGGGTAAACACTGATTTCTGGATGCATACGGTATTGAGTATCGAGCAGATGTACATCCCTTGGGTGGTTGGCCTGCATTCTGACGAACAAACTCTGCTCGTATTGGAACTTAGAAGCAACTTTCGATAAAACAGTGGGCGGCAGTTGCTTCGGGTCTCCAACGAGAATACATTTGGAGCACCCGTACTTCAGGGGAATAAGGGCACTGAGTTCGATAGACTGAGCAGCTTCATCAATAACAACGGTTTCAAATTCAATACTCAAGTTCTGGAACATCTCGTGGCCGCTACCGCTGAGAGTGGCGCAGATGACATGAGCGCCGTTAATGATTTCCTGTTGAATGCGGCGCCTATTCAAATCTGCATCGCGTGCTGCCGAGTGATTCTTGTCCCTCGCAGCGTCGATCTGTTGGCTAAGCTGCGTCTTCTTCTTCTTGAGCAGATCGAACTCTCGTTCCAATTCTTCTGGCACAGGTAAGCCCTGAGCTCTGCATTGATCGATTTTTGCGCGGGTCTCCTTGAACGCGGTATCCGCAGCTTTGTGTTCCATATAGATCGTCTGTAAGTCCCTTTCGCCAGAGTCTTTACGTGGATTCTGGCTCAATCGAGCGTTGACGAGCTCATCTAAGGTCACATCGAGAACATTCGTGTTGATAGCATCACTTCTGCCCAGACGAATGACGTTTAATCTTTCGTGGCGTCCGTGGATAGTTTTCACACCCTCCTTGAATCGCATCACCAGCTCGTCGACAGCAGCGTTACTCGGAGCACAGACTAGTAGCTTTTTCGACGTTGCAGTTCTTACAGGGGCCCTCGGATTTGCCACTCCCGTCGGCCGTGAAATTGTTACGCCCTGGTCACCGAGAACATTGCTGAGCAGGGCACCCACAAGGGCGACTATCGTCTTCGTTTTTCCGGAACCGGGGGCCCTTGGATAAGGGTAAAGGCATCATTGTCTAGAGCAGATTTGATTGCCTTCGCCTGGGCCGGATTGACATTGTAATTGTCCGCAATCGGTTTCAGGCTAGCATCGGAGTAGTGGAGAATCGGCGACGGTTTGGCCCTGATGACTTCCTCGCACAAATCATAATACTGCAGAGCCATGAGAGCACCATACTCTCGTTCAAGAGGAGTCAATGACGTTATCTTCGCACCCCAGATTGTGACTCCAGGTCCGAGGGAATTGATGAAGGAGCTCCCGGGATTCACCCGATAAGATATTTCAACTGTGCCCCTCTTCTTGTTGATGCCGGCAACCCTTGCAAAGCAGTGAGGGGCAGAAGGATCGGATGTTGGCCTGCTCGACTTAGAAAGAAGGACGATATCGGCTTCGCCGAGACCGAGGTCTTTGACCTCAAGCGAGGGTAGAACTGTGCTGACTTCGACAAATGAGTCCACGGAGAGACGAGTGGCAACCTTGATTTCGAATGGTCTAAATGTTCCTTCCTCCTTCGTCGAGTTGAACCCTTGCCAAGCTTCCAAAATCAGAAGAGGCTCGAATGTTTTCTGGTACTCGATCGGGTCTCTGAAAGAGTTGGATACCAGGCTGTAGTCAGTACGACCAGAATTTGGCGGAAGATCACCATTTGCAAAAAAGTCCCAAGAGAGGATTGTACGATGCAAAGAAGATAGATCTGGCGCGAGCCGTGCCCGCATATCTTTCGCAGAGCGCACCTGCTTGATCTTTTTAACAGGGCCTTGTTGCTTCAGCGATAGTTTTTTACTCTCTTCATAAGCTTTGATTGCGTCCGGCTTAGATCTTCCCTTCGGCCCGAAGAGCTCCTTATCGAGTTCGTCATCGCTTTCCGACTCGGATTCTGAGCCAGAAGACACCATCATACTTTCCTCGGTAGTAGTATGAACTTTGCCTTTGACCCCGATACCACTCAACCCGGATCCTTGTTCAGCAGTCTGTTCCCCAACGCCACGCGCAGGAAGATTCTTCTTCAAACGTGCAAGCTCGGCAAGGTCACGCTTTCTCTTGGCTTCCTTCTCCTTCTCGCGTTTTTCACGGAAGGACTGAACTGTCACATTAGGTTTCAAGGGTGCAGCAGAGGGTCTGGGAATTGCGGGGAGGGCCTTGGCCGCCTTGTCCGCTCTTCTCTTAGCTTCAGCTGCAAGTCTCTCTTTATTGAGCTCGACAGACCGCGATAGCTGCATCAGAACATCGTCTGGTACATTGTCATCATCGAACTCATCTTCACTGGTTGTTTTGGCTGGACTAGGTGTAGCGGAGACCTCGGCTGGTTTGGCAAACGCGGTGATCATACTCTGTTTCTTGAGGCTGGCGGTGGAAGCCGTCACAACAGGTTTCTTGTAGTATGCCTCAAGAGCCCGAACAAGCTCTGCTTTCTCCCGCAATGTCAGGATGGTCTTGATGGTGGACTTGACCGCAACGCCTTCAATGAAACCTAGAGCATCATCTTTAACAGTTGTCACGCTAAGCTCCCCTAAGCGGCGAAGCAGCTTTGCTACCAGTCCTACCAGCGTGGTTGCCAAATATTCATCTTTCAGGCGGAGCCATTTGACCATCGCACTCATGGTCGTGGTTGGGAACTTCAAAAAATTCTCTCGAGCAGAAGCCTCCTGGCTGGGATCCGCATCGACAACAGCGCTCAAGAAAACACCGTATTGGTCGAAAAGCAGGTCCGCAAATTGAATAGTGTCCCTGCAGAATTCCAGCATTACAGCTTTGTCGTTACCCCTGAGATGCCATGCCTCAGTTTCATCGAAGATGGTGCTTAACGCTTGCCAGAGATACTCCCAAAGCTTCTGGAGGGAAAGGATCTCTCTCCGATCAGCAAGCTTACGAGTTCTGAGCATTCCTGTCTGACTGTCACAGAGGATATCAACGATATCGGTTCCGGTGTGTAACATTCTCGGCGCAGAAGCAAACGTCTTCATGTTTGAGATCCGTCGGAAAGACCAACTAAGTCCGTACATCGTCGTTATGAAAAAAGACTGTAAAAGATGAGAGATTGCATCCCTTCTAGCTGAGTGACCGCTCATGTTCTTGATGAGGTCGACGGCAGCCTGATAGGTGTCAAGATCCGCTGCGAACAGAGCAGAGATCAATGCACTACTGGTATCTTGGCTCTTGAACAATTCATTGAGATGCTCAGGCTTGAAATCAGCAAGGCGCTCAATAATTTGACATGAGAGTCGAGTTAGGTGGCCGTAAATCAGGTTAAAATGTGTCTTCTCCGGACTTGACTCGCCCTTCGTCGGAAATGTTTCCAAGCCAACCAGGGGCAGTATACCAAGCAGCGCCGAGGTCGAAAGCGCAAGATTATCCTCGTGAAGGTTCCTGACAACAGCTTCCCAAATGGGAGCCGAGTAGGTGCTTACGCCATGTTGAAGAGAATTCTGCCGTAAAATGACTTCGTAATCGCTCTTCAAGGATTGGCACTCAAGTGCCAATGTATTACGGATGACGTCCATGCATAAAGAGGATATCTCCTCCTGCCGTCTTTGCTCCACTGAGAACTTGGGAGGCTTCAGAATTGTATCGGTATTTGCGCTCACAACTCCCATGGTCTCAGACAATACAATACGGGCCACCGAGCCTCGTGAAGACTCATTGTCGGTGAAGCTGCGAAGTGTTTGAAGTAAACTGGCCAGTCCAACATGAAAACAATGATACCGAGCCAAGTCCGGGAAGCGCGGATTTTGGAGTCGATCAAGAAGCTGATAGACAAGAGATCTGCAGGCTGAAGGTTGGTGCGCGCCCTTCAAGGACGACATGAAAGGATCAACCCAAGAGAGCATATCCTTCAGAGCAGACTTCTCGTAAGGCTCCCCCTCGCGGATTTGCATCAAGAACGCCCCCAGCTGAGGGTTATAGAAAACGAGCTCGATGATAGCTTGAGGGGAGATCGTCTGCATAGCATCCCAAAAGTCCCCTGGGGCTTTTTCGAGGAAGATCTGAATCGTGTTGAGAAGGAAACGCAGCCCTGGAGATTGAATCCCAAGGTGTTCCACAGAAAGACGGCAGGGGTCTATTTCAAGCGCCCGTAGATGATGCGTGATCTGATCCTTATCCAATCTCTTCACTACAAGTTGCATGCCGCGCCAGAGTCGCTGGATAACAGCTACCTGAGGCGGTTGCTGAGAGGCTGCCTTCAATATGTCGAGAAGCCCCTCTTTGATCGCCCAGTCGAACTCAAGTGCGGTCGGGGGCCGCGAGTAGCGCATCCAGGAATGAATAGCCCAGAAACTTCGGCTCTGGTTGGAATCAAATAAGAATCGAGTGACAGCAGGGACGTAATCCGAGACCTTGAGACTACGTTTTGTTTGGATAAGCCGGAATGGTTCGTCGAAGTGCTCCTGCAGAAGAGCGTCATTGCGAAGCATGGCCTCGCAACTCAGACTCTCAAATATTGACAAGAGCGATGCTCGATCCAACACATGAAGCCCAATCTCTTGAGGCGGAACTTCTTTCAGCTTCGCTGTCGCCGTCGCCAAATTCTTCTTAATTCTCTTGATGTCCCAATCGTCGAGCATGCGCGCGAATTTCTCGATATCCTCGTCATCGTAATTCTCCTTGAGCTGCTCTATCAGCCAGATCTTGCCCGTGTAGTACTGTTTGATGCAAAGGTCGCATTTTTCGAGCGCATCGTCCAATTTGCGCCAGATCCAAGTCTGCAGCTCCTCAACGCCCTCCTGGTTATAAGCCAATATACGCATGCATGAAAGAAACTTCTCTCGCCGACCATTGGCCTCAGCCACAAGTTCCGCTGCGCTTTTTCCCGTATCGTCTACCTCGTTGGGGTCGTCGTATCGTCCATGGTCGTCATCGTGTTGTCGAGGGCACAAAATATGGACATTGTCGGGAAGGGCTCGCAGCTCCCTGCAAGTACGAAGATCGTTCAGTATTGCCATCAAGCCATCAGAATATAGAGCAGAAATCTTTTCTTTCATTGAGAAAGGTTTCTCACTACTCACCCGACAATATCCATGAAGTCCATGGTCTCACGCTCGACTACTCAAGTCCGCTGCTGCAGATGAGGGGCGTCCGCGCATTACTTCTTCGAAGACCGATATTTTTGGTCCTCGTATTGTGACGGCAGGGCGCCTCTTTTTGAAGCAAACTATCTGTGCAGCGAGTGATTTGCACTTGCCCACTACACCATAGTTACTCGTGGCGACAGCGCATTGAAGAGATAAGAGAGTTTGGCAGAGCTCAAATCCACCAATATCAGTGCAGAGCAAGGAAAATGTGAATGACAGCCGAGACAGAACCCTTCGCCTTCTCAAATAATTCGCAAAGAAGGAGATTCACTTGCGCCTCTTCGCAAATCGAACAGCAAACAAAGAGCCAAATGAAGTTGTTTGAAAGGTGCAAACGATAGTCTAACACTGCTTAGTCTCAGGGAAGGCAAGTACCTCTTCTCTTTTACAACAAAAAGTGAGCCTGAGCCTCCTCTGATTGGCGCAACACAAAGGCGGTGGGCGTAGTCTTGCATGCCACTTTACGCGTTATAACGACCGGTCCGAGACGCGCTTCTCTCGCAGCGTTTCCATTTTTAGGAGAATACTTGATTGGAGACGGGACAGTGTCGATGTGATTAAATCAGTGACAGCTATGGACAACAAGGTCTTTAAGAACCATTTGAAATTACTAGAGCTGGGAAATCCGTGACTATACTCCATGAAAACTTCATGTATGAGCAGAAACACTTGGACTAGTACTAAAGTTCATTGAGCTGCTTCAATATTATGATTCCGAAGATATGGTAAATACATAAAAGCATGACCGACCCCTACTTATGCCTCGTTTCCACGTTCCGTTCTCATTGTGCTGAAAGTGCAGAAAGAAGAGAGAAGGGAGAAACGGAAAGGAAAGAAGAGAAACCAAAGGCAAGAGCTTCAGATGATGGTGGGAATTATAAGAAAACCAATACATAAGAGAGATCGACTCGATAGACCAGCTGTTGGGGCTTTGCATCCAGGAAAATGCTTTTGTACAAGAAGGCATGCAACTAGATCCGGCGCAGTGCCAGGGGAATGCAAGAATAAGAGAAATCAAAGGCAACAAAACCCTTGTGAAGGTAGAGAGTGTGGAAAACTCAAGCGGGAATAAATCGAAAGAAATTTGCGCCGAGCCACCTGCCCATTCTGTATAACCGAACGCCTTCTATCGGGGAATAAACAGCAGGCTATAAACAAGCAAGAATCACATCGAAGAGAATGCAACGCCAGATAGGGTGCATCGACTAAAATCGACCAGAAAGTCGTGGGTAACATCGCAGCAATATAGGGCCGAGGATGAAGAAGTACTTATTATACCTGATATGATGGTGGGTCATGAGGACTTTTGAGCGGGCTATGGGGGCTCTGCGGCACCGGTATGCCCGTCGCAGAATCGACGCGGCTCAGTATCGCGCCCGAATTGAAGTCGGAATTCACCTCGTAACTCGGCCGGACTCTGTCAAATGAGTGACGGGTGCGTTGGGCAGACTGCACTGACTGAGGGCGAGGATGTTGCATAGTGTCAAAGCTGTAATTGGTCCCATTGCTACCGTTCTGGCTCCGCGGATTGTGAGTGTGAATCGTGGGAGCGACCGACGGCGGGTAGATCTGCTGATCGTCTGAGAAGGGATCCTGTTTCATACTGGACTGGATTGGTTTACCCAAATCTGAGGAGACGGCCGACCCATTGCTCAGGCCACCAGAAGTTGCGGCGGCCTTCGGGGGGACAAACGCCTCGTATTGGTCCAGATACTTGAATTTACCTTGCGTGACTTGTTCACGAATGATGTCCACATCCCGAGGAAAGAAGACCTTCTGCACGGCTTTGACGGTAAAGCGAGGAAGAAGGCATATTAGCACCGTCATAAGGAGAACAACCCAGAATGACAATGATCCATAAACCTCTGCAGCAGCTTTGTAGAATTGAGCCGACGCGGTTGTCGAAGAGTAGATCCCGGTCCAAAAGAATATTAAAAGAGAGCTGATGACATTGATCAAAACCGTCAGCCAGTCCCAACGGTAGGTATTCAGGAGGATGTAGGTGTTGCTAGCAATGACGGCACACGAAGCCACAAGGACACCCATTCGCGTTCGGTCGTTGATATTCAACCCGTTGGAATGTACGAAATTCGCGGGGCTAAAAAGGAGGTATGGCATGTAGAAACATATGACCGACTGGTAAAAGCCATCGAGCATATACAGCCTGAGTGATGTCAGTGAGAGCTGGAACACCGGAAATGGAGAGATAAATACCAGAATTTGGTCTGCGACCATTCCTTTCGCTCGATGCCCCTCATATATAGCTGAGGGACGGCAAGTGACACCTTGTCGTCAACGTCCTGATCGAAGATTCCCATCAAAATGACGGGCAAAGATGTGAAAGCAACATTGACCAAAACAATATATGTATAGTCGAAGAGGTACGAGCCGTCGAAATCATTGTAGAGCGAGTACCAGAAGAGAGCAATGGTCCAGACCATATTCTGTATAATTGTTCAGCATGATGTGTGGCTCGCGACAATCGATACCTCACTTACCTTGTAGAAGAAGTTTGCTATCGTCTCGCCCATGCGGCGGTAGGACCACCGACCATGCACAAGGATCAGGCGTTGGAGGAACCTGAACTGGCCTATAGCATAGTCGGAGGACATAGCCGCCTGTCTACCTTCTTCACCGACGATACCAACCCCGACGTCGGCTTCTTGAATCATGGCGACATCATTGGCCCCATCTCCAATCGAGAGAGCCATGATATTCAGGCCATTCTTGACTAAGCGGACAACCGCCGCTTTCTGGGCGGGACTGACTCGACAACATAGCACGGACTTGCACTGCTTGCAAAGCAGGAGGAATCTTTGCTTCAGCTCATCAGAGAGCATGAGTTTGAGTGTATCGCCATCGATAACTACCGCGTGCGTTGCAGGCGGTGGCGTGTGATCCTCTCGAGCGGCGATGAGTTCCTCGTCAGAACCGGTTAAGCCGAATTTCCGCAACTGCTCATCAAGCTCCTGAGAGGCTCGCTGCGGTTGATCCTCGGGAATGTTGAAAACAAGGAGTTCCATGTCGTTCGTCAGAAGGTTACACGAGAAACCGATATTGATGGCAGTTTCAACTTTATCACCAGTCAGAACCCACAGCTTGATCCCAGCATCGGCTAACAAAGAAATGGTATCGGGAACGCCATCCTGAAGCTTATCCTCGATGGCTGTTCCGCCGATAAGCATGAGCTCCTGCTCAATCTCACTTGAAACTTGCTCCAGCTTTTGTTCACGATCTGTGAGTGCAGCTGCAGCAATGTCGTGTTCTTTGCTCCATGTCCGATACTGCTCCTCACTGAGGATTCGCTCTGCCACGCACAGGGTTCGCAAACCTTCACGCGCAAATTCCTCTAGATGCTCAGCTGTCTTCTTCCGAAGCTCTTGTTGCTTACCACGAGCCAGGCGCGAGTATATGATGCTATCCGCGCCCTTACAGAAAAGACGAATGGTGCCATCCGGCATACGGATGATTGCACTCATTCGCTTCCTCGTGGAATTGAACTCGAGTGTATTGAGTACAGTATAGGTTCGCTCCTCGCCCATGACATTCAGAATGAGATCGTCACCTGATCTTCCGAGGAGAGTGAAGCCACAATCGCGAGCAGTGCTCACCAGAGCGGCCTCATCCGGGGACTGCGCTTTGAACTCGATTTGGGGAGGATCACCAGGCGTCTGCTCTGTGATTACTGTATGGCACAAAGCAAGAGCAAGCATGAAATGTTCCGTGGCTTGCTTTTGAGCTTCACCAGATTGCCCTTCCAAGTCCGCGACGTAATTTGGCGCGATGAACGTCAAATTCTCGTCACGGAGATATGGGTTGTCGTGGATTCGGCGGAGCATTTGAAGCATCTTGGCAGTATCGGCAGCGATTTTTTCTCGTGCTTCCGCGGCCACCGTGTCGGCATCGCCTCCTTCACGTCTGATCATACCTATCTGGGCTTCTGTGAAGGCCTCGCCGTACGAAACTCCGTTGATAGTGCACTTCTTGAAGTCCATCACGTTCTGCGTTAAAGTGCCAGTCTTGTCGGAGAAGATGTATTCGATCTGTCCAACATCATCCGAGATGTTCCAGGATTTAGGCACGCAGGAAATTCCCAGTTTCTCGTAATACATGAAGACATCGCTGTGAATGAAAATAGCCTGACACGTGCGAACTATCTCGAGGGAGATGTAGAGCGAGATGGGCACCAAGTTCTGGAACAGAATCAAAGCCACCCAGAACGTGATGATGGCAGTGACTACCGGAGTGCTTCCGTAGGAGCCAAAATCGAAGTAGTTGAGAGATCTGTCATTAGAGCCCCATGCAACACCGTTGACAACTGCGGAGACGAAACACATGGCAAACAGTAGAATAAAATTGTAGATGACATTCCAATTGAGCGCTTTGGCGAGCTTAGCTCTTTTTGTCGGCGTCGCACCGGAATTGAGCATAACCTTGGTCTCGTCACCAGTGAAAACGACTACACCAAGCGCCCATTCAGTGTTGCGAAGCGAACACCCACGCAGAAGCATATTGCTGATGGTGATAGGCTCTACCATCTCCCTTCGAGGTGCATCCGGATAGTCGGGATCGCGTTGGTCCCAGCGAAGTGCACCATTATAGGCGTACAAGTTCGGATGTGGAGCCTCGCTGTCGATCAGAAACTCGGCCTTCTCGCAATCCCTAGCATGCCTGACCTGACGACCACAATTCAAAGCTTGACGGACCTTGAGATTTGTCTCGCCATCTAAATTTTTGGTCTCCACGTAACAAGCACCATCGGGATCTGAAGTCGAGAGAACAACAATATCGGCGGGAATAGGGTCTCCGTTGTATAGTCGAACAAAATCCCCAACCTGAATATTTTTCCAATAATCACGCTTGAATCTAGCCTTGCCGATTGTCTGCTTCGACGGATCCACCACACTACCACCTTTTCGTGGCGGTATCGCGGGTGATGTAGGTGCTTGTACACTGTCCCGATTTCTCTTGTCCGGATGAAGGAACTGATCCGAATCACCCGCAGGTAGTGGCCAATCTGGGCGGGCCTCCGGGGAGGGAGAGGGAACAGGAGTCATCTGAATCGCGTCCTCTTCCATACCGTGGTCGCCCCGTTGTGAATACACAGACGCTCGCGGGGTTGCAGTCGTCAAGATTGAGGCGCGCCGTTCATCTTGAAACATTTGCGGTACATCCTTGTTTTTCTTCATCAGACGCCTGATCCACCGGTATGTGGAGATAGTGGCACGGGTACACGCTTTCTTGAATCGACGCCAGAGAGAAATTTTGTCCTCAGTCGAGTTCACATTGTTCCACTCGACTAGGCGATAAACGGGAGAATTGTTCAACTCGTTGTCTAGGACGGTACGGCGCCAATCTTCGATGGCGTCTTTGATAGATGTCGCGACCACGATGACAATCAAGGGAACTGTGTTGAGCGCGGGGTTATCTACACCGAAGATGGAAAAGAACTAAATAGTCATGTTAGCCTCAAGAGCAATCGACCTGCGCTGGCTTCGGCGACCCGGGAAGGAGGACATACACCAAGGATGATGATGAAAAGGAAATAGATGTTGGCTATGTTGTGAAATTGAAACCAAATATTTTTCGGGACGAAAGACAACGGTGTATATTTCGCAGTTCGAATCTTGTTTCTAGGATATGACGCTTTGATTTGTCCATCTTCATCTCTTTCGGATTCGGGTATTGGTATGTTGAAGTAAACCCTTCGATTACTGCCGCCTTGACCATCTTGGTCGCTTTGAGTGTTCGAATCCTCCGTGGGGGTAGAATGCTGCCTCGCTTCTCATTCTTCGCTTCAGAACGCTTATGCAAGCGATCCATGATCGAAACACGTTTCCGTACACCTCCGGCGCCGGCAACTCTTTGTGTTGCCCATCTCTGGCGTTTCGTCGGCTTCGAGACATTGCTGCTAACTTCGCGAACCTCATTCCCGGGGTCAATGGAGTCCGGACTCAAGAAATCTGACGCCATTTACGCAGCTTCTAGCCCTTGAGAGAAGGGCATAAACCGGGGGTGACCGTGTTGTATTAGGACGGCGGAAAGAGAGCATCCGCTCCAATGAGCCGGACCTCGAGTGTGTCACCAATCCACAAAACCTTCGTTGTTATCCTCGACTCAGTAATCCGAGATGGACGCGGAGACAATGCTGCTAATTGTGGCCTGGGTTCGCAAGTAGCCAATTGTTGAAGCACGTCACGATGAGGCGGCAGACTCCAAGGTGAACCAAAGAGCCCCAACACAAGGACGATACGGCCGTACGTAGAAAGGTCGGGAGAGGGGGAAGGTATAAATCAAGCGAAGCGATAGTCCATTATTCAGAAAAGGAACAACAAGAAATATATCGACAGTATGAGTCGACAAGGATCGCAGAGAAAGGAACTGTTCCTTTCAAGAGAAAAGAGGAAGATTAATCAGATTGGTAAGATGGAAGACAGCAGTTTCTGGGTAGCCGGCAATCTCTCCTCGGGAGACGGGGGAAGTGTAGGTATGGTATTACGGAATACGGAGTCACTGGTTGATACATACCTTAGTTCACCAGGCGGAACGCAAGGCTGGGCATAATTGCCGCTTCGTCAGCATACAATACAGCACCTAGCATAAAGACAAGGGTAAAGTAAGCCGAATTTCTTTATTGATAGAGTAGGCAGGAGATTCTGGTAATTATCACTCAGGATGTTCTCCCCATACATTTTGTACTGAGCACTGGAGGCAGGTTTCCAATGCCTGTGCATGAGCTTTAGAGACTGTACTCCATATCTTAGTTCTCCTGCATAGTTTCTACGCGACTTCATTATTCCTTCATAATTACCGTACAGTAAATTACAGCGCTGACATACAGGTCAATCCGTGCATAAGCTCGAGGCCATTCCAGCCTCGCTGCAGACCGCAATCACTTTATCTGGTTCCCCTCAAAAAATTTTCTAATGGTGGCGGCGAAGATAGATACTGGATAGGTATTTCCGGCTTGTCGGGATGGCGAATAGTTTAATGTGCTTTATAATCACAGATCGGTCTTAACTCGATACAACGCATGTAGGACCTCATTGACGGTTGGATGCCACCGAATCTAATCCGAAGTACGGATTCGGAGTAGGATATTGTAAGTCCTTAAATCCGGACAGATTGCAGTCATTAAAGACGACTTTGGTACCCGTAACTGGTCCCTTGTCTCTACCCTACCTGATCATGCCCTACCTCAATTAAGGATTTCAGGCTGCGGCAGGGCAGCCGGAAGTGTCGTCGGAAGACACGGCATGCATGTACTCCGTACTGTGGCATGTCAATATACTAATGTGGTCTCGATCATCTCGATCATTTTGGCCACGAGATCTTGAGGGCAAGTAATCTCAATGCAGTTATTGATATATTGTGTTGTTTGTCGTATTAATATTGATATATTACTAGTAGTATTAGCGCTTACGTCCAATATGAATATCCAAAGGGCCACCTACGGAGGGGCGCCTCTCGGAGTATGGAGTTTGAAACAGGCTAAAGCCGTCGGGACGGCACAAAATGGCACATGCCTATGGCATCCGGTCCACATTATTATCCTTCCAGCGCGGAGGACGGAATTACAACTTACAGGTGTATTTTTTATTTTTACGCACCTGTAACTGCAAGACAAAGTCATGCGTATCTACATAGTATCTACGTAGGTCTAGTTTATCTATCCAGATATCTCGACAATGCATAATGTATGGACAGATCATTCTGATCAATATCGTAGATTGTTTGTTTTGATCCTTCTGTGAACAATTAATAGAGATAGATACCCCTTAAGGTCTTGGGCGTGTTGCTTTGCTTCCGTACCCGGATCTCTCCTTTTCAAGAGTCTTGGCCGCTGGCCTGGCTTCTATTTTGATGGGCTTTGCCCTCATTTAACTTGGTCAGTTTGGCTGTGGCTCCCCATTGCGTGTCGTGAGACTCATGGCTCTCATCCCAATTGTCCTATCATTTTCCATTTTCAGGGGAAAGTACGAGAGGTACCCAGGTGATCATCAATATTGTTCTCGAAGAGTCCTAAAGTGATCATTATGTCAAGTGTTTGACTTTTGACTAGTAAGTGAGCCATTTGTAGGAAATATGACTAATCTTACTAATGCCGCATTGACGCGGTCTCTCAACTTTGAAGTTCGGGACTGCTGCTTAGATGTCAGTATATTTATCCTCACTACCTCTGTAATTTTACAGTACGTTCCATTATCTTCAAGTATGACACTGTAGTCTACACATCCTGATAGAGAGAGCAACAGATATGAGATGGAGAAAAATACCTGATATTTGACACTTTTGCAAAGGTGGGCTGTGGGCTCACTGCGTCAGTAGTGGATCCGCGTCGGTCAGATCAACCGTGAACTGCTGTGGAGAATAAAGTGCATGGCCAAGTCAGATCGACACCATGGCCCCTTGGGCAGTTGTAAATTCCTAATTAAGTTATCCTCCTAGTACAATGCCTGATTGAAGAGGCATCTGACCTTAACAGGTAATCAGTCTTTCAATCATGAAGGTAAGGTGCATACTTTGTGCTCCGTATGAAATGAGTATATGCACCCACACTTTCTTTGCAGCTTGTAAAGAAATGATAGGTGAAAACTTGCTTCAGGAGTTCTGTGTCGATTCGAAACCTTTCGTCGGGTTGCTATTATTTTGATCGACACCAACATGTGGTCCAGGTCAAACCTGTCATTTTTTGAGGTTCATCAACTTCACTCATATATAGAGGCTCACTTCCGAATTATTTACTGCACAAGAAGTGATTCAAGGGGATGAAAGCCAGAAACCTAAAGTCAATACTCCGTACGGACTCGAGCGTACCTAATGTTGCGGCTGGACATTTATCCTCCCACATCAGATCTCAGTCCGGACTCCTGAGGTAGTTTCAGAACCTAAAATTGGAAATATCAAGCTTTCCTGCTAGCTTTCCAATTGCACGATCTAACGAGGTAGGCATCCATCATTTCTCTCATAATGATGTATGTGCAGTGAGATATCATCGTTGTCCCGGCTTACTGTTGTGGCCTAAAGTCGATACTGGAGTGTGCTCCGCCAACTGAGAAACACCGGCATGGCTGAGCAGCTGTGTGAGGATACCATTAATACTAGTAACTGTAACTCAAGGCTGGACTTGATCATCTATTTAGTATTGCTATTCTTATGGACTTATCCACAAAGGCGAACCTCTCACGCCCTTTCCCATTCTAGTATCACAAGCGCTCATATAGACGGTGTTCAACCACTGCCTGATAGGGGCTTATCTTGCAATGCAATGTACCACATACTCTATCTAGGACCTGGGCTGCGTCGCGCTAGCTGTCTCAAATAGCATTCTCAACCATAGCCTCGTACGAAGCAACAAGTCCTCAATAAACTAACTATTTCATGAAATTTCGCAAATGGTTGATTGATTGGTAAAAAATATCGATGACTCAGCATCATGTGACTTCGCGAAGGGCAGCGCGCGCTCAAATACGTGTCAGGCGTTGATGCGGAGCAGATAAGCCGGACATGTTCAGTTGCCCAGGCAGGCCGTAAGGTGATGTCAATCTAGAGAAGTTTGTGGACGAAAAACATGTCCCAGTCGCGCAGTATTACAGATTTCTTCAAGCGGCCAGCTTTTTCGCTGACAAAGCAAGAAATTCACTCCGTCAGTAACCCAAGCGAAGCTCTTACTGCGGCACCACTGTCTTCAGACTCTTCACCCCTCACCAAGCCCTCGTCGTCGTTCGTAACAATCGGTGACTCTCCACAAACCCCGGATGGACCAGCCTCGCAGCTGAAAGAGTCTTTACAATCATCGGTACAGGACACCTCTCCAAAGCCGACACCTCAGCAGAGTTTCCAAAGCAGTAACGGGACTGTTGTCGGCGACCCTTCTTCAGGACTAAGTTTCAACTCATCTCAGCGGATCGTCAAAGACGGGAAAGAAGTTGTTATTAGCTCCGATGGAGAGGATACAGACTCGATAGCTTCTTTTGAGCAACTAGAAGATCCTCTGTTGATGTTCATGAAACCCAACCCAACGGCCGCAAGCGAAACAAGAGAAGCCGAGAACAGTATTGGCGACTCAGAGATGGCGTCGCGTTCGCAAAGGCTCAAAGATACGAATAAGTCTTCGAATGCCAAGTCCTCGAAAGTCTCAGTCCCGCAATACAAATTCTCACTCGATGATCTTGTGACCCAAGCAGTCGATGATAACGAAACCGAGGCAACCATTGCAAGATTGAAAGCTGTGCGCGAGGATGAGAGTTCTTCAAAACCCGACACTCCTCCTATCAGGCACCTGAATGAAGGGATGTTGACATCGGCACTCGGTGATCAGGATGATGAGCTAGGATTACAACGTCTACTTGATGCCGTCAGAAGAACAGAGGCGCTCGAAATAGAGAAATTCTGGTCTTTTTTTAACTACGAGGCAAAAGCTCTTCCTGCCTTGGAATTCCCGCGAGAGTCAATAGCTCCGGGGACATATTTGGCGGTACTGCGAGGTTTGTAATTCATCTGGCTTCGGCTTCTGGTTCCGTTTCTAGTGGTTCTGACTAGAACATAGAACCAGAATCGAGAGAGCGAGCCTTCCACTCTGGCGCTCTTGAATTCACTCTATCCAGAGCATATCTTTCCGATGAGCTCATTTCATGGGTCTTCCATTCGGGTCAGTATTTATTTGCGGTGGTTTCGTCGGTATTGCTCACTATGTTCAAGTGCCCTGCGAGCCTCGGGAGAGCTTGAGGCATGCGTATTGTAGGCTTTTCAAGGTGTGTAGAGCCATCCGTTCATTTTTGCCAATCATGTATGACTTACTAGATGACCTTGTAGCATGCTACCGCTGAGCGCATAGAAACCCTGTTTCGACCAGCCGATATCAATCGGCTCTTTCAGCGACTGGGCGCCAGCCCCAAAGCGCTGGATATTTCTGAACCGGTTATCCCAGAACCAGCGCCCCAGAGTGAGATTCTCGGTGAATGTCTCCCATTGCTTAAAGTCTAACAACTCGCAGACAGTCAATCGCGAGAAACACCTCAGCATCTGGCGTGCTTGCTGTCTGTCTTGGAATTACTTCGCGGTGCCGCAGAACTGTACGTTGATTTTAGCTTGCTGCAACGGTCATGCTTACACTGCAATAGATTTGCCGACGATACCAGGGAACATCTACTGAATATTCTCTTTCGTCTCGCGCTTGACATTTCCGTTACAAGCAACGCTATTGTTTGCTCAGACTTAGAGAAGACTATTACGGCAGTTATGGAGAGCGTCCCCGAGGACACTGCTGATAGCTTGGTGAGATTCATGGCGCTTTGGGGCGTAGCAGCACCCACTAACTGAATTTCAAGTTGCACCGTGTCTGCATAACTGCCTACAACACCTTCAGAGACTCCATATTGCAGAGTCGCCTTCTGAAGCATATTTTACCTACCTCAAGTCGAATCGCAGCGCTGAGGTGCCGTCTCGCTCTAGCCTTTTTAACGAGCGACCCAGCTCGACTGGCTGAGGCCCCTGACGTGATGAGCGATCTGAAGATGATTATCAACCTTTTGAAGGATCGGCGATTTAACATTAACCTATATAAAGGAAAAGGCAATCCTGAGTATGACTATGGAGAACTCGGTGCGGTGACAGCACTCCTCAACATTGCTATTGACTCGGGATGGTCTGGACTGGCATTTCCAACAAGAGAGGCCGAGAAAGAGTTTAATGCCGATGTTGACAGGCTTGCTGATCGGGTCAAGAAGATCTTCGTGTCGATTCAAGACTCAGGCGCGTCTCATCTCAAGCGGACTTTGGCGAAGGAGGCCCTCGAAACTTTGCACTACCGCATTGTCTATTCTGTGAGGTCGAAACCGCCTCCGAAGAAAACGTTGTTTGGCCATTTCGGGGCTGAAGATGGACGCGCCAAAATTAATATGAAGCAATGGGTAGAACCGAGGAGTGCGGAAGACAAGAAAGATACTCAGATGCCTATTCGAAGTCATGAACATCCTTCTTGATCTTTCAACCTTTTTCGAGACGACCAATCCCTCATTTCAGACTCGAGTCAATCACCGATCTCCCTCATTCCTGTTCTCACCCGTGATGAGCTGTATCACAAGCCTTATCTTGTTCGAAAGGGTGGTTTCGGGGTCACACAAAACCATGCTGATGGGACTTCAGACCATTGCAACAGCTGCTGATATCGGCCTGATGAGTTGGTTTAGAAAGCAGAGTGGCGATACCGTCCAAATTGCACCCGGTGTCCTTACTGAGCTGTGGGGACGAACAGGGCTCTCAAGAACTTAGAATAACGACGTGATGATCTTTATGCAGCCTGGCTTTGCCATTGCACTTGTATCTATTGTATATAGAGCAGTATATATCATCGCCCATCCCTGCCGGGATAAAACAAGAGAAATAGAAGAAAGAGATTGTGTACAAAGCTATGCTGATTCCGAATAACAGAGTTCAAGAAAAAGATGATGGACCACAGGTTATACGGACAGAAACAGCGGGAAATAAAACGACAACAGTGCAGAATTTGTGAGCAAGAGAACCTCACCCTTCCTAATCATAAAACTTCCGGTTTGCGTTCTTTCCAAATAGTGTCTCTCTGACTGCAGGCAGAGCGTCAATCTCAAGCAAACGAAGGCGCTCCTCGAACGTGTTGTTGATCTCAATCTTGCCCTGACCACCAACAATGAATACACCGCCAGCACTAGAAATGACCAGTTAGAATGATAGATAATCACTAGAAGGGAGAAGGCCATAGAACATACGATCCTTCCGGCAATGGATCGGCCTCGTCCAACTCCGCCGCCGCTTCCTTGCCAACAGTGCTCTTGAACTCCTTCAACGCTTCTTCAATCGCCTTCTTGACAGCGCCGAAATCCTTCTTCCTTGCCCGAATGGATACCTTGTCCTCATTCAAAGCGTACAGGCCCTCGAGAATTAGCCCCTTGAGCACGTTCTGGTATTTCTTGGCATCCTTGGACGCAACGTTAGAGATCTTCTCGCGGGCTTGCTGGAACAGGTCATTGAGAAGCTCCTGGCGAGCGGAGAGGACACGGAGACGGGTACGGTTGGCGAGAGTGGAGCGGGTGATCTGTTGGGACATGGCAGCCTGCTTGAACTTCTTCTCGTAGAGCGAGTCGATCGCGGCGGTCTCCTGGCGGACAAGCTTGGACTTTTCGATTGCGAATTCTTCGTCGGCCTTGAGTTGGATTTCACGGGCCTTCTCCAGCGCTTCTTGCCGGATGAAGGCCGTCATCTTGCGGAGCTCGCCCGCAACCTGTTCGTAGACCGGATGAGCTCGGTGAACGTGCATCCATGATCGGTGCCAGTGCATACCTGATCATCGGAGAGAGCATGGCTTTGCGACATTTTGAAAGCTTTGTACCAAGGTTCTGGTATCAAGAACAAAGGAGGTTGAAGCGCCGGAATGTCCAACGGTGGGGAGTTGAGCTTTCTGATGCGGAGTTGCTTGCTGGATGGGCGACCAAGGAGCTAAGGTCAGCAATGCCGTTGATAAGGTCCCACAACGAACAAGCTGCATGCAAATTGGGATCAGACTGGACAAGAGATCATGCTTACCTTTCGGGAATGTTACGAAACGTCGGCAAGGGGAGATGTGACGCGATATCGATACTACTGCAGAAGGGCAGGTGGATGGAGAGGGTGTTGGCACTGGCACGAAGCGGATCTGCTGACGATCGGGTCACTTGTTCTGTCTTTGTCTTCCCGCCCAGGCCGCGCCGCATGAGGTCAGAACCTCGTCTCAGACCCAGTGTTGGCTCAATATTAATTTAAGCTTGTTCTCCAGGATACTGTTCTCGGTTCCTGCATCCGCTCAGAATTGGATATTATTTAACTATCATGGCGCCTTTATTTGGATAACTACTGGAAGCTCCTCTCTCATGCCCTGTTGTCCTCCTTCATCCCCCGCTTGGCGACCAATGCATCAGGATACCCGACCATGGGAAATCTTGGTGACCTGTCGCCCCAGGGTAGTGTCGCGGTATGATTCAAACTACCTACTCCCCATCGAAATGTCGCTCGATTCTTCTACTGACACCGGGATGCAAATAGGTCGGGGTAATAGTCGGCTTGATTTCAACCAGTCTCCAAGCCATCGGGTTGACACTACAACGCAAATCCCATATACTCGAGGACGAGAAACATCCCTATGACCTACGAAGACCACCATATAAGCGTCGAAGATGGCAGGTGCGCACATGGACTTTCTCTGGACGCTCGAATGACGGAAGATCTGATCCCCTTTTAGCTAGGAATGCTAATGTTCGTTGTTTCGAACATCGTGGGGAGTACCATCCAAATCACTACGCTTCCGCTTCCAGTGCTCTCAACTCTCCAAGCGGTTAGTGTCCTCTTTTCTTCTGCAGCAGACGGTAGAGATTTGCTAAGCCAAGCGATAGTCGGGCCTGGTTTTCAACACGATCTTCGCCACTTTAGTCCTCGGCGAAGCGTTCACCAGGTATTCCTTTATTGGTACGATTCTGGTCTGCATTGGTGCAGTCTTGATAGCTGTATTTGGCGCTATAGGGGAGCCGGCGCATAGTCTGGATCAACTGCTGGAGCTTCTTCAACGACGCAATTTCGTACTCTGGATGGTGGGGACAGCCGTCATTGTGCTGGTCATTCTGCTCGTCTCAAAATCGCTCAAGCTTCTCGCCTCTCCGCACCGCTCAAGGCATACCAGTATTCGACATACCTGTACTCCGCATATACCAATGTCCCCGAGCCGTGTAAGGCTGATTCGTGGTCTATGCTATGGCCTGATCAGCGGCATTTTGTCGGCTCACTCCTTACTTTTAGCGAAGTCAGCTGTCGAGCTTCTTGTCCGAACGATTGTGGATCGTGTGAATCAATTTAATCGATGGCAGTCATGGGTGATTCTCCTCGCAATGATCACCCTTGCACTGACGCAATTATACTTCTTACACCGTGGCTTGAAGTTGTGCAGCACGAGCATTCTGTATCCTTTCGTGTTCTGCATCTATAACATCATCGCTATCCTGGATGGTTTGATCTACTTCCGCCAACTGTCCCAGCTGGCGGGTTTCTACGCCGGCCTGATTGCTCTCGGGACGGTCGTTCTGCTAAGTGGAGTGCTTTGTCTCTCGTGGCGATTGGAGGTTATCGACAGCCATGCGTCTGTGACCGTTGTTGGCCCTTCTCAAACCGGATTGGGCCCCGGTATGGCTGTGCTTGAGGAGAACCCGCATTCTCCTCGTGAAGTTGGCGGGGAGGACGAAGAATTGCGCATCGGAGAGCGACAGCCTCTCTTGCAGGCATCCCACGCGCCGCACGGGTCCCCTCATCGACGGACACCCAGTTTACCTTTGGTTTCATCGATTCCTCAACAAACTCCCACTGCTGACGTTGACCCGGCGTCCATCTGGGCTGAGCTGGATGACTCAGACTACGAATACACCGGTACGGGTCCCCTCTGGCAACCCCGTCCTCGAAGCAGCACCGTGAGGGAAAATGTTATCCGTAGCCCTCGGCACTCAACAATTGGCGCAGTCGGCCAACACGCCTGGACAAACCGTAGAACCACCCGCTCAGTCTACGAAGGACACCACCAGCGAAGAACTTCAATCCCGGGCCCCGACAATCGACAATCTCTGCAAAAACGAAGCACCTACTTTGGCCCTTTCCCAGGTAACCATTCAAATCGCTCCATCGGCTACGGCACATCGGGTGAGAGCGACCGCGAACGTGGACACGAAGGATCGAATCACCTCATCTCATCAAGTAGCGCTCGCGAACCGCTCCAACTCTCCGCCACTCCATCCAGCGACGGCCCCTTGCAGGCTCGAGAAACGCCTTAGCCCAAGCCTGGAGAAGTAGCCTACGATATCTCTCGCGGTGGACGAGACACCGCCCACGCACTGGATCTGAGTCACACGATCCTCTACTTGACTCTTCGCATTCCCCTTCAACATGACGGCTGACAAGCCTATGCTGCTATTGCTCGTATGTTGTCTAGAGATTCCGACCATTTGATCTCATTTTGGCGATTTCTTGGCCGTGACTATTTCCTTTTGTACAATACCCCAATATATACTCAGCAGTGCTTTTAGTCTTGCTTGTTTAGCTTGATTCATAGGAGATATCAAGTCGAATTAGTCTGCATTGGCATCATGTGATAATCCTACCTATTTGGTAACAAAGCTGCCACTCTTTGAGCTTGGCTTGATCTGTCCATGTGGGTATAGTACCCACAGTAATAGCTGTATGAGGATCTACAGGATCCATGACAACCTATCGTCCACAGGGCAGGTGCTAATAATGATCAAAGCATAAGGTAATGCACTTACGGACTCTAGTGATTATACTTGGGCTGGGTGATGTGATTTGGAACTAGAGCATATTAATGAACATCGCGATAGACAAAGAGAAAGGCTTAGCTCCATTTTCTCCGTACCATACATGTCGTACTTCCTACTCGATGAAAACCATCCATCCATATCATATCATTTACTCAGTCAGAAAAAGTCAGTTCCGCGCCTTTCTCCAAAAACCCCGCTCTACTTTTGGGTCAAATTTGACCATGACCCAAAGTGAGTAGTCCAGCGACATTGGGACGAGGATGCGAAGGAAAAGCGCAGGACGCAGAGAGGGAAATCAAACGAAACGCAATAGAGAATTGATCAGAGCACACCAGACAGATTATAGCAGATGAAAGAAAATAAATAAATGAGTCCCCTTCGCCAACGAAAAATCAAAGATAAAGAATAAGAAAAAGCACCAGGAACACCGCCACCTCCAACGTCGTCTAGGAGATGATTAGGAGATGATGAACGGAAAGGAGAGTAATTGTTCTGGAGCGAGAGTGATGTGCTCGTATCCATTATAGTGCGAGATAGACCTTTTTTTTTCTTTCTTTTTCAATTCCCTCGGTTTGGATGTCGATATAGTGGTTTGTTACTCGCCGTGACAGGGGAGACCACAAAAGACAGATGTCGAAGAATAACTCTTGCGCATCAAGAATCGACGGGTATCAAATAGGGTAGGCAGAGCGGGGTTACAGATGCTGGATGCAACAATGAAGGCAAAATACGGACCATCGGACCGCCCTCAGATCATCCTAGGTATGCAAATAAGGACCCCATCTACGCAGTGGGTTGGTGCTGAGGGGGCATTCGATTGCCCACAGGCATGCCGGGGTACTGCCCACCAGCCTGTTGTTGCTGCTGCAAGCCCTGATAATAGGCCATCTGCTGCTGCTGTTCGTTCGTCATGTAGCCTGGGTGCATGCCCGCAGGACGGGGAATATTTGACTGTTGAGGGTTGACGTTGGCGTGGTTAACATCCTCAGGTGTCTCTGCTGGTACCTCCGGAGCTTCAACGCCATTTTCGTTGGTGGCGGGATCTGGAGCGTTGAGGCAAGCCTGGTGTGGAATTGGTTAATTATGCTGGTCCCAGACCGAAAGTGCTCTGGCAACTAACCTGGATGAGATTCTTGCCCTCGGCCTTCGTCACCAGTGGTTGAAGCTTGGGAGTGGTGAAAGTGTAGACGAGACCGGTCTCGGACACGACGAGCAACAATACTTGAGTACCTGTGAGGACGGAGAGCTCATAGGCCTGTTTTGCGATCGCATTGAATCGTCAGCAACTGTCCAATGTAGCTGATTATACGATAAATATCTGGAACAAGGGACTCAAACGTAGAACAATCAAGTTTAAACAAGAAAACAGGCGGATAGAAAATGCAAGACTCGAGAAACAGGCGACAACCGCGGGCAGGGAGACGCGAAAGTACGCACCTTCTTCATGATACCCGCCTTCCGCTTGGAGAAGGTGATGTGGCGACGCGACTTATCTTGAATGAACTTGATCTCAATCTTTCTGCGCTCGCGACCGGGCTTGTCATCATCATCATCATCGTCTTCTGCGCTCATTCTGGAGCGCTTGGGACCGCGGTTGTCAGCGGCGCCATTGCCGGCGGCCTGCTGCAGGTCGTCCTGGGTAGGAGAAGGGTTCTCCTCACCGACGGCGGTGATGTCGGCCATGATGGATCAAAAGTAGGTGATAAAAGGGTACAAAAAAGGATTAATCGAGTTGAGAAGCAAGTAATGGTAGAACCCTGGGGGTTGTGAACACGAATGCCCAAAGAGGAATGATGCTTTTGAGGGGGGAAGGATGACCAAATCGAGTAACGCGTTTGCTTCGCAGGGTTTGGGTTCAGGACGAGAAGGAAAGGAAATCGGGAGGAGAGTCGAAGAAGGCAAAGTGCGGTTGGGACAGGCAGGCGGTCAGTCACGTGAAAAGGTGGGTCTGGCAGTATCCACGAGTCAATACAGTACCGTTACAACGGAATCCTTAGGTACCTCGGCCGGCTGTATCAGCGTGCAGGCACAGGCCTGGCTAGGGAACCTCCTGAGTAGTCGATCACGGTCTCCAGCAGGAGGACCCATGATACATCTGTGTAGCCCGTGTTTTGGGTTTATAAACTCAGTAATAAGAGTAACTCCAATGAATTTATGGCTGAGAGCGAAGCATTCATGAGCGGATCCTTACAATAATACGCGGTGCAAACGTAACGAGCTAGTCGATTATACTTTGTCCAGACCCAGCGGTGGGAAAAGATGGACTTGGCAGAACTGGTGATTGGACGATCCCTTAGAAGGTTCGATTTGGAGGCCAACTCACAGTTCGCGCTGTATCGTAATATTACCACTTGCGACACTAGAGTGTGCCTTGTCACTAGGTACAGGATGCGGATTTCGACTCGATAGGGAAATGTCCAATTCCTTGCCTACTTTCGCTCGGCTATATTATCTTATTCTTCATTGTGGAGGCTACTACAGAGTGCCTAGAAACTAGGGAAGAAGTGTCTGACCAGAGTGTCTTTCATCGTCACGACCATAAGCACAAGACCTTGAGCACCACCGAGTCGGCTGCATTCCATCCCTCGAGTAAGCCAAACTTTGGCCCCCCATTCGCCCTTATCATACGCAGCAGGCTGTCTCCTCTGTATGTAAAGATAGAACCTCCGTAGTCCAGTACATTCGACGATCAACGCACCACAAGTGACAAGGTAGTCTCACTATTAGCAATAGTCCATGTAATAATCCAGCCATAGCGATCCTCTTACACCAAATCCAATAGTGCACGCTGTATCATACGGTCATGCATCTACCTTATGCCTCGTGCAATATAAGTACCTCGATTACGGTTACTGCAGTACCTTAAGGTAGTTTTGATTAGGCTCTAAGATAGCACGAGGATTGGCTGTTGGAGCTCAGCGGTAACAACTCCAGCCAGCTCCTCGGTGCGTCCTGCTTTAGGCTCTCGATACAGAGCACTTGAAAGATGGATTGTTAGTACGAGTGATGTATCAGATAGCAGTGACTGCTGCTTAAGTATGAAGCAATCCTCGGAATACTGCGAGTAACTTGTATGGAGAGGTAATGCAATGAAGATAGATTTATGTTCCTATGGACAGACGGTGTGGCGATAGCCAAATCTAATCTAACACTCAAGTCATGATATTCCTGCATAATGACAAATGTTCAACGCTAATCTCCAGAAGCAGCGACACCAGCTCAGCCTGAAATTCTATTTTTACAAGACACATATAAAGAAGAAAGCCTCTCGTAGGAGCGGGTGGGAGAAAGACTCGACCGGGATAAAATGTCAGATCAAGGGTGAAAGTCCCCCAGAACAGGCAGATGGAAAGCCAGAACCGGTCAAGGACCTCGAACGGAAAATGCTCTTCGCTGAAAAACCACTTGATTCCGATCTTGAGTGCGCCATTCTTGGCTCCGTCAACAACACAACGCCGGACCAATCAACAATGGAAGAATAGGACGTGGAAAGTCGGCATTTGGGCAAGAACCCATTCTGGCACCATCATTTCGAATTTCTTTCCTGTTTCTGTTATGGGTTTTCCGTCCTGTGGCCAAACATGGTTCCCAAAGGAGGATATAAGCAAAGGAAAGAAAGAAACAAGGCAAAGTGGGAAAAAGACATGTGCAAGAATGGAAATGAAAATCTTCACAAAGCCCGAGGACCAGCCTCAGTATTAGTTGAGAGGTTCGTTCGATCAGTGTGGATGTTTTACTGCTGCTTTCTCACAGCGTAATCATGTACACCAGCACCACCGCCTCCCTTAGGTCCGAGCCAGACAATCTCAATGACACTGTGGCCCTCATCCTCTTCACGCACATACCATTGGTGCACGTTGTCACCAACGACATAAGCTTCCCTCAACAACCAGCGGTCTTTGGTGACACCTGCTTGATCTTTGAGACGGAGAGGACCCAAGCGACCCTCATAACCACGGGGGTCTTCCTCCCAAGTCTTCTCAGTGTGATCGAAGTTGATCGCATCATCGGGTGTGTTTTCGTCATAAGTGTACTTGACAAGAGAATAGCCGTTGGTCATGACCCAGAACGTGCGAACGGACTTGCCAGTGGAGTTGTTGACATACTCCTCCTGGTCGAAAACCCAGCGCCGAAGGACTGATTTACGACCTGCAGCAGCAGCAACTGTGGTCATCTTCACCACGTCCTTGGTATACCAGCTGTTCCAGTGGTGCAGAGACTCAATCTTCCGCCCAGACTCGTAAACACCATCGACTTCACCCTTCATGTCCATCTGGTAGAGCGAGGGCCAAAGAGTAAGAGGAGTTTCGCCGTATTTCTGAATGCACTGGCCGAGTTTCTGATCACCGGGCTGCTCACCCCACGACTGACACTCGTCGTAGTATTGCTCGAGGACATCAAGCAGCGGTTTAGAGACAAATACACCAGCACCTCCGAAGGCAATGTGTCCGAAGGTATCAACCTGCCAGCTGGCTTCGGACAAAGCACCAATATAATGCTTTTTGTTCACATCGAACAGCTTCAGTTCCTCGGCCACAGTGGGAAGGGATAACCAGAAGGTGTCATCATCGATAAAACTGACCCATGTGGTTTGAGGGCGCTTGGTTCGGATGTGCTCAGCAAATGCCTGGACAAGGCCGAAATAACGAGCGGTGAAGTCAAGTGGAGACTTGATCAAAGTCAGGTCCAAGCCACGGTTACGGAAGTAAGTCATTTGCTTGTCCAAATCGTCGTCCGACTCTGGAACAAGAACGATAATACCAGCCTTGGTGTTACCATAAGAGTAAAGAAGTGAAGGAAGAAGGCGATCCAGGCGGTCAGCAGTGGTAGCAAGACCGAACAGGAGCTTGTCCGTTTCATCAACCGCGTCGTCTGCAGCCACATCGACATCGATGATCGGGGGGCATGGCAATGAAGGATCCTTGTTATCCGGCGAAACAACCATGCCACGTTCCATAACAGTCATAGGTGGGAGGACAGGCACATTGATGTCTTCAAGAGAATTGAATTCCGCTCTGGGGCTCACAAAGCGAGGACGGAAGTAGGCACGAGTATAATTCTTGCGCGGAAGCCATTCGGTAAACGGCAAGGGAGGCATGATATTCGGATCGGCCTGGCAAGTCTTTGTAGAGTCAGGCGATGATGGTTGGAGCTGGATCTGAGGGGTCTGAGGTGTGGGCGCTACACGGTCGACCGGATGCTTGAACCGAAGGGCCGCATGATCGTAGCGTTGCATGCCCCAGAAGAACCCGATTATGGAGAAGAGCGCGATAAGAGGGAAAACGGTTTTGAGCCGAAAGACAGGCATCTTGGTGGAGTTATGAAGATCAAGCGACTTTTTCCACATTAAAGTAATTGCGAGGCTGCAGATTCACCGGATTGAAATATTATAAGGGTGCGGTCTATCCGTATTAAGAGCACATCAACGGAGAAGCGAATAGTCGTAAAGCGGATGCGTATCGCACTGCTGTCCAGAATTGAACAGGCTGGAGATGATTAGGTGGGGGTTCTTGCGTAAATGAGTGGAATTGGCAAGATCAGGAGAAATTCTCTCCGATATGCTCAAAAGACTGATAACGAGAGTCTGGCAGCGTCGAGACCTGCGACACGGTCACAAAAAGGAAAAAAGAGCGATAGGCGGATTGAGAGACGGTCCGGCGAGATTGTTCGTTTGAGATACGCCTCAGGAATGGGGTGTCGACACGATTGTAGAGAGGTCCAACAAAGGAGAACAAAGAAACAGCACAACTGGACTATGTGTCCAGGGCTAGAAAAGAGAATCAGGCGGATGGGGATGGAAGGTCGAGGATATGGTTGTTGTCAAGGCCTGGAGGAGAGAAGAAGGGAATAGGGGAAGAAGAGGGGAGAAAAGGGAAAAGTATGAGGGAAAGATGAAGACAGGAGACAGGCACAGGAACCGATCCAAGTGGGAATGCCGAAATACTGGACCACGGGTTGCGTTCGGGCCAAAGCTCCCACTTGGTAAATTAAATCTGTTTAAATCAAATTAAGCTCAACCGTCGTATTTTGCACTTTTCAAGGTGGATTAAACAGGAGGGTTGAAGAGGCAGAGATGATACTGATCGCTTTAAGATTTTGTACTGAGATCTGACAGTGAGCAGCAGGAAGAATTGGCCCGATCAAGAGATTGCAGGTTTGATGCAGAATCTCACCAGGATCCCGGGAGGAGGAAAAATAAGGTATCCAAGAGTCTCTTACACAGGCATGATTTTCATCCACATGAAAACAGTATATTATTTATGGTTGTTCACTGTTGACGCCTCCCGCAATTTCTTCTTTTCTATTTTCCGATTTCGCCATCTACCCAAGTAGCAAGTGCGTAGTAACAAGTTACGGTTGCAGATCACTGGACCGAAAAAGAAGAATGTCGCTCAGATGTGCGGACTATCTATCTCTGGAATACGTACTGCGGGATCTTCCCAACTCCGCCAAGTGGGTGGTTGGTATTTTTCACTTCCGGCCTTCAAGACCCTTGCAATCAAGCCGATTTGATGACAGTACTCCCTAGATGGTGACTGTTTGACACACCGTTGGTTGGACGATCCCGGCTTCTCAAGCATGTTTTACAGGAATTGCTCTACTGGAAGCAACACAAAGTGGTAGAAGAGAGATCAGATTTGATCTTGCCCCTGCTGATAACCTATATCTGAGAAAGCATCATACTTTTGTTGATTACTGTCCCAATGAGGAAAAGAAGTGGAAGGACTCAGAGACAGGTGATACAACTCCGTAAGCTGCTGGAATGTGAGATTCTCAGTACAGTAGCTACTCTTCACTCGGATCTG